GCTCTGCCTTTTGCTGCTCCCCTGGGATTCCACCTCACAGCCCAGGTTCCTTCTCTTTAAGCCTGGGTCACCAGGTTCTGGCCTAGAACTGGGGTTCAGAGCAGTCGGAACTGCGGCTCAGCACAGCCGGAGTTTTTGTTTCCTTCCCGCTAGGGCAATCTAGCATCAGAGTCAACATTCCATCCTCTGTGCTCAATGTGCGTGACTCTAGGGGCTCTGCTTTTCGCCGCTCCCCTGGGGTTCCGCCTCACAGCCCCATCTCCCTCTGTTTGAGCCTAGGTCTCCAGGGTCTGGCCTAGAACTGGGGTTCAGCGCTGTCGAGTCTGGAGTTCAGCCCAGACCGGGGCTTTTATTTCCTTTCTGCTAGGGAATGCCAGCCAGGTACTCAGCCTCCACCTCCTCTCTGGCTCCATCCTCTCCACACGTGTGCACAGCATGTCTCTGTACCTTAGGCTTTTACAGCTCCTCTGATTTTCCTTCTGGTTTTCTCTTTCCTTCTTGTTGTAGAATTTTCAGTCAGTCAACTTCCTGTTGCTCTGGGCAATGTCCATTTTATATTTTAGTTGTATTTTATTGAAATTGTTGTGTGTGGCTGCGGTTAGGTGTTTACCTGTGCAGCCATCTTGGATTCTCCTAATTCTTAATTTTTATGTAGTTTAATTAATTAATATTTTCTTTTTTTCTTTTTTTGTTTATCATTTATCAGATCTTTAATCATGGGAAGAGCACAAATAGGAAGCCTCCCACCCAAGAAAACACAACAGTCTCAATGCAGAGACAGAGAGACAGAGAGATAGGGAGAAAGAGAGAAAGAGAGAGAAACATCAATGATGAGGACGGAAATAATATTCTCCTATATTTTCTCCTGAAAGTTTTCATTTTTTACATTTAATATTTTTGTCCATCTAAAATGGATGTTAGTGTCTGATATGAGGTGGGGAATCCAATGTTATGTTTTCGTGTACAGACACTTAACAGTACCAGCTTCCTTTCACCTCTGACATATATCACTATTTCATATTTGTGTGGGTCTGTTTCATGGCTCTCTATTTTGTTCTGCTGGTCAGTTTGTGTGTATTTGTGCCAATACCATCTTGATTTACTAGTAATTAGCTATTTTTATGTCTTGTATGTACTAGGGCAACCCACCCTCCCCCTGTCTAGGAATATATTATTCTCATAAAAGTGTTAGGCTGTGACTATTTTTCCTCTTCAACCCTAGTGAAGAGTGGTATTTAGTAGGTTAAAGACAAATACTTTTCTAGCATAATAATGCTAAATTTATGCTATGAAAAACAGTCAACATCACCAAGTGAAGAGATGGTTTGTCTTGAGCTATTTCACCTGGATGGGTTTGGGACTGATTCTCAAAAATTTCAATCATCTTGCTTGCTTCTGTAAGACTCTAGGACCCTGGGGAAGGCAAGAAGAGAGAAGTCTAAAGAAAGAGCTAAGACCCCATGCAAGGACTCTTTTCTCACCTGATGAGAAAAGAGATGCTTTGCACCATTCATTGGACATTGTATTTGTTTTCAGTCAATCAGATTATTTTCTAGGAAGTCATGAACTATATCTGCAGTTGGGGCTTAGAGGCTGATATGTCAGAGTGGAGAGAGGTATTTATTGGGATTTCATCACCCTTTGGTCAATGACACCAGACTGCATTTTTAGCACACTTATTTTGTTGTGTATCCCAAGGAGGAAGTTAAGTTTAGCACATTTTCTGCTAGCCACAAAATAAGGAAAGACCTCCCTAGTCTTGGGTTAGTCATAGTCTTTTATGCCTAGCTGTGGGATCTCTCCTTGTAAATTGCTAGTCCTCTGAGGAACCCAACTTTATACAATAGCATGAACTGTAACCATAAATCCTTAGAATATATGAAGAAAGGTACTAATTGAGTGGTATGTTCATAGTGATTTCTTAATCCTGGGAATGTTAGGAATGGCCCATTCAGATGGAGTGTGTGTGTGTGTGTGTGTACATCTCAGCATGCAACCATGTGTGTAGGCCTGGTAGTGTAAACAGGGGACTCTGGTTGACCTTCTTCAGGACCTTCTTGCACCTGCTCCTGAGGAATGTGTTGGCATGGTGGTGGGAAAATCAGATCAGCATGTTGTGCAGCCTCCCGAAGTGGTTCTGGAGTAAGGACATGAACATTCAGAGCCATAGGCTTTTCTTCTCCACATCAGGGCCTTCTGGGTCAGGTGTCAGAGACAGGGTCCCTTAGACCAGTGACTGTAGATGGGGACAGAAGAATCTCTTAGGGAATTAAAAAAATATATATATTTTATTGATTTCAGAGAGTAAGGAAGAGGGAGAGATAGAAACATCAATGATGAGAGAGAATCACCAATTGGCTGCCTCCTACTGGGGCATCCCCTACTGGGGATTGAGCCCGTAACCCAGGCATGCGCCCTTGACCGGACTCCAACCTGGGACCCTTTAGTCTATAGGTGACACTCTATACACTGGGCCAAACCAGCTAGATCTTAGGGAATTTTAAAAAATGTAGATGTCATGGTCAGACTCCATTCAGATTTACCAAATAAACTGGGAAATAGTGTCCAGGAATCTATCTATAAATATAAAAGCCAAGCAATTGGAATGATGGAACGACCGGAATGACCAGTCACAATGATGTGCACTGTGGTGGACACAGGCCCATCAGGGCTCCAATCGGCCACCCCCATCCTCCTACGGCCCCTCCCTCTGGTCTTCTTGGCCCCTGATTGGCTCCCTCCACCCTAATTGGGGGGCAGGGCCAGCCAGCCAGCCAACTGTGGCCCCTTCTTCCATACTAGCCCAGCCCCATCCCATATGTGCATGAATTAATGTACCAGGTCTCTAGTATTAAAAAAAAAAAGTACCTCAGTTGTTTTGTAAGTTCGTTTGGTTTGGTGACTACTACCTCTCTTGGCCTGATCTCCAAAGGGGTGGTAATATCACTAGTGTTCAAAAGTTCTTTTGACTTTACCTCCTAAAGATTTCTTGCATCCTCTGTATGTCCACTGCCCACTGGTCAAGTCCAAGCTACTAGAATCTCTGGCTTGGACCACTGTAGTAGCCTCAAAGTTCCCAATCTGTACTCTACAAAGCAGCCAGAGTGGTCATGTCACATTTCAAATTGGATTGTCACACTCTCCATCCCACCCTGACACTCAATTCAGTTATTTTTTTCCCATTGCTTGCAGGATGAACACAACATCCTTTTCATGGTCAGAGGGCCTGCATGAGTAGGCTCCCACCCACCTCCCCAGCTTCATCTCACAGCCATCTTCCCTCCTAATGGACTTGCACTTAAAATTCTCTCCAGATACCCTTCCCCTCCCTTTGCACTTCAGGCTCAGCTATTATTACTTTTGAGGGAGATCCTCCCACCTTTCAGGGACAGCCCTTTTCAGTTGCAATTTTGCTTTGATTTACATAATAATTTGATTAAGTGTGCATCTTCATGTAGATTGTAATTTGCCAGGAAGGTAAACAGTGAAGAAGGGACCCCTTTTCCTCACTATTGTAGCCATAGTGGTTGGTATGCAGTAAGCTCTAAACACAGGGTGGCACCCTGGCCAGTGTGGCTCAGTTTGTTGAGCATACCTCCTGTACACCAAAAGGTTGCCAGTCGGAATCCCAGTTTGGGCACATGTCCAGGTTTTGGTCAGTCCCTGGTTAGGGTGTGTGGGAGGCAACTGATCAAGTTTTTTTCTCTAATTGACGTTTCTCTCTTTCTCTCCCCCTCCCTCTCCTTTTTTCCTCTCTCTCAAAAACCAGTAAAAATATATTAAAATAAATAAGTAAATACAGGGTCAGGCAAAAGTAATTACAATTGTTTGTAGGGAAAGTAATACAGCCTGGCCAGAGTGGCTTAGTTGGTTGGCGTGTCCTCCTGGGTACGGAAAGTTTTCTGGTTCTAATCCTGGTATGGGCACATGCCTGGGTTTTGGGTTGATCCCTGGTTGGGGTTGGGGCAAATATAAAAGGCAACTAATTAATGTCTCTTCCTCCCTCCTTTCCTCTCTTTTAGCATATTTTCAAGCAAGAATTAAAAATATATAATAATAAATTAAAAAATAATACAATAATTAATAACAATAATTAATAATAATATAAGAATAAACTGTTTTGTGTACTCACAACTGTAAACCTACTTTTGCCCCACCCTGTACCTGCCCTCTTCTTCATATGGCTGCGTTGGCAATCAGCAGTTTTCAGTCACTGAGAAGACATGGGGTCTTGGGATGGGTCAGAGCTTTATAATAACACCCAGAGTTCCATTCACACATTTGTTCACTCATTCATCATGATATATGTGGCATTACTTGCAACTTCGAGCTGTGGATTTCTGGGTCTAGCTGGAGTCAGCTATCACACAGCAGGAACTGGTGGTAACGATTTGAATACCTGGCATATCTCACTTATCTCGGCTCAGTCAAAACAAACATTTATTAAACACACACTAGGTGCCAGGTGTACCCTTGTTCTTATGATCTATGGAGGAAAGATTTACATGAAATAAGTGGCTACACATTTATGAGTTTTACAAAAGGGGCAGTCGTGTGTGCCATGGAGACAAAGAAGAGGGGGCCCAAGTCCAGTCTGAAGGGGGCAGGGGGCAGAGACAGACTTCCCTGCATAAGGACTATTTGAGGGGATGACTAAGAGTTAGGAAAACAGGCTAAATATAGTGCAGTCCAGGTGTAGGTCAATGTGGAGTTAACTTCAGAAGATGGCTATTTACTGAGCAGCAGTGAGTACCCAGTTCTGCCCAATTCTCCTCCTGAGTTCAGGTCTGGCCCTTCCACACTCCCCAACCACCCTCTGAAGGGTTGGCTAAGATGGTCCCTGCCAATCTGCGTCTAGAGGGCAAATGCCGGGCTACATGGAGAGGGAAAGTGTGTAAATGGGAAGCCCTCAGGGCCCCTTCTCTGACTCAGGCATCACATCAGCTGCTGTGAATTCAGCACCATTCCCATCGCCAATATTAAACATCATCACCACCAGAAGTTTTTACTCATTTCTTTATTAATGTAGAAAAAGAGCCCAAGGCAGCTGGACCAGTAGTACAAAGCACGGCAAGTTAATACTATTCTGGTGAAAGGGTTGGCTTTACAAAAGAGAAGGAGCAGGTAGGAGCTGCCCTGATTCTGGGGCCAGGCCCAGCCTACTGTCCAGAACCTCATAGGAGCACCTGGAACCAGCCCCTGGGAGAGGATGACAGGTGGGTGGAGTGGGATGAACTGGAGACCATGGAGGACAGATGGCAGGGGTAGAGGGCCAGGCAGTGAGAATCCTCCTGTGGCTGATGAGGACAGGAAACTGCTGGCATGAGACTCCCCACTGGTCCATGGGTAGGGGCTCCAGGTGGCCTCAGCTCTGGGAATAGAAGAATCCAGACCTGGCCCTGGGTTGAAGGGCCTTTCCCTTCTCTCTCCACCAGGGGCCACCTTTGCTCTGTATCACAGGTGGGGCTTCAGGGCCCAAGGCACAGAAGGAGGCCCAGAGGCCTCCCCGTTGGGAGGAAGAGTGGGCAGGAAAGGAAGCACTTGAGTGATCCTGGCTTAGGCATCCAGGGCTGAGACACAGGGCAGGACAACAGCACCCCTGGGTTATGGGGCTGGAATGTGGGTCAGGGATGGGCTTACCCATGGCCAGTTACCCCATGGCAATGGTGCCTGCCTCAAACCTTGGCAAATGGAGTCTGCACCATCACCAGGTGTCAGCAGACCTGGGTTCTAGCCTGAGCTTTTCTGGAACAGAGCTATATCACCATGGGCCAGCCATGTCCTGCCCTGGCCTGCTCCTCATCCGCTAATGAGGGCTTTGGCTATGACCTCTCAGGTCATGGGAGAGACTCTGAAGCACGAGGGACTCTCCAGAACCTGCTCTCGGTAGCTAAGTGGGATCTGGTCCCAACCATGCCTTGGACACTGGCATGGGAGGGGGCAAGGAGGTGGAGGAGGAGGATGTTCTTTCATGGAACCTACCCCCAGAAACATTCTGGAGCTAGGAAAGACTGTGGGAGCCTCTGCTTTGTCCAGTGGTAGAGAGGCTTCCCTCCCTGCAAAGGGAGGGGACGTGGTTCAGTACAGGCCCTTCACAACCACTATCTGGGTAACACTTGGCATGGAGAGAATGGGGTGGCACTAAGTGACCCTTTATGTTCTTCCCCGGGGGTGGGGAGCTCAAGGCCTCATTGTGGCTTCTGCCTCCAGCCCTTGGCTTGAGGTCAGGAGTACTCTTCACTGTGTTCTTGCCTTGGGAACAGCCCAAGACTCTGACTGGCTGGCACATGTTAGTTGGTGAGGAAAGGACAGAGGGTGAGTAAGCAGCCAGGGAGGTGAGAGCGACTCTCTGGCTTTCTCCGCTTCCTCTGGTGAGAGCAACTCAATCAACCGAGTCACAGATCTCTTCCACCACCGCATTGAAGATGTGCGGCTGGTCTGCATAGACGTGGTGCGACGCACCCTCAATTTCCTGTGAAGAGAGGAACCGCCAGGGTGAAACAGCTCTTTATTCCAGGCACTGGAAAGCTGTCAAACCATTTCTCTTCCTTTAGACCTGCTTGCCTCTCACCCATGAGCACTTGTCAGAAACAATGGCCCAGTTTTCTCCCTGGATCCTTGCGCATTTCCTGTAGGAGCCAAGGACTCTCAATATCCCATTTTCCTTCTCCCATGACCATTCTCTGTATCTTGCCTTCCATGCTAGTCCCAACACCACTGATCTGCTCATTTTACCCACAGGCCCAGTAAACCAGGGCCCAATAGGCAGCCAGCCTAACTAAGCACACTCCTTAGCAAATGAGGGTTGAGGGGGGAAGGAAAAAGGGAAGGCAGGAGTGTGGCAGGAAGGCTTCATGTCAGCCTCTCCATTCACTCTACTGTTCACAGCTCTGGTTTTGAGTGGGAATTAGAGGCAGGTAGCATGATGCCTGTGCCTGGAGAGAAGTGAGAGGCCACCTAATTATGAAATGACAAAAAGCCAAACTTTTCAAGACCACTGTCTCATCTCCATCGGTTCATCCCTTGTTTCCCTGCTGACTCTTCCATCACCCTCTCCACCTCGAGTTGCTCATCCTTGCTGAGAGTCAACCAACATGTGCTGGCACTCAATGCACAGCTTTTCCACCTCAGTTCTGCTCCTTGGATGGCCAACGTACCATGTCTCGGACATAGGAATCCGGCCGCTGCAGCTTCACCTTTTTCCCTGTGCTGGTGTCTATCCAGGTGTTGGACCCATAGATCATGGTGATGGGCACATCTTTTCGAATCAAGTGAATTCGTTCTATCATGGGGCGCCGGGCCCAGCCGAAGGACTCCATCATGGCTTTGAAGGCCGTCTCACCACTAAGAAGCAAAACAGAGTGAGGAATTAGAATAAACCCCACAGCATACAATGTCAAATTGTTAGTCTCTTCAGAGGCTGAGGCAGTATTTTCATCATGTTGGTATTCCTCTCAAACCCTGGGTTTGAGACTCATTAGATATGGGTAAGATTAGGAGAAAGGACTGAATCTCTAGAGGCCTCTTAACACAAAACAGAGTTAGAGGGATACACCTGTGAAAACCCCTAGGACACAGAGTATTGTCCAAGAATGCAATGGGTTAATATTTATTCAAAAAAATTTATGTGTCATGCCCTAACCTGAGTGAAGGGACATATGAACAAGACACATTTCAGCTCACAATTTAGGCATTAAATAATGAATTATATGATTCATTAACTACACATTTCCCAAGAATTATGAAAGGGTAGTGGAGTGCTAGGAGAACACAGACTAAGGATTTAGCCGGCCGGGGTGGAGGGAGAAGGTCAGGAGTTCATTGAGTCTCAAGAGCGAGCACTATGGTTATACAAAGGGATTCCTGAGGAACTGAATAAAACATCAGCCTTGTGAAGATCTGGGGGAGCAGCAGTTTGTGTTGTGTGAGAATCGACGACTGCCAATCAAATCTGCTTTGCTCCCTGGCCATTCCCTCAGGTAGAGCTAATTGAGGCTGTATCATGACGGGTCTGCATGTATTATGCAGAACTGGTTCTCAGGCTGGGGAACATTCTGAGGAAAGTGCTAGGATTGGGCGTGAGGGGCCTCAAGTGGGTCTGAGCCTGGCACTGAGCCCAGTGGGGGTTGAAAGAAAGACAGGGTAGACAGCAGAAAGCAGGGGGCTACCTGATTTGACTGTTGAGCTGAGTTTCTATAGGGCTGCCTAAGCAGGGCCCTTCAGTTAGCGGAGCTCATGAGGAATGTTGAATGGACAGTTCCCACGCTGCCTGAAAGCTGTCTGGGTTTGAGGCTAATGCTCAGACGGTACTGACGGAATGCAAATCCCCTCCTTCTTCACAGCTTTGGCTCACAACCGTGACCTGGACAGGCCTGGAATGAGGCGGGGCAGTGCTGCTGCTCCCAGTGAACTTGGCTCCCCTGAGGTGCCTCCCAGCAGCTCAGGGTGCAGCCCCGGCAGAGGAGGTGCCACCAAAGCAGCCACCTGGTCTAGCCATGCACACAGTATGGCCTGGACTCTGCCCTGGCTCTCGGCTGCAGGACTGCGGGCCGCAGGCTTATGGGGCCTGCTGGGTGAGCAGTCATAGACATGAACCTCTCAAGATTCTGGGGATACCTGGAAATGCCCAAAAGATATGGAAAGAGCCGAAACCGGCTTGGCTCAAAGGATAGAGTGTCGGCTTGGGGACTGAAAGGTCCTGGGTTCGATTCTGGTCAAGGGCATGTACCTTGGCTGCGGGCCAAGGTACCCCAGTAGGGGGTATGCAAGAGGCAGCTGATCGATGACTCTCTCTCATTGATGTTTCTAACTCTCTATCTCTCTCCCTTCCTCTCTGTACAAAATCAATAAAATATATTAAAAAAAACACACACAAAAGATATGGAAAGAATTCCTGTCCCAACAATACTTCAAGGTGCACATAATTAAATTTTTAAATAGATACTTTCTCAATCAGCGATTCTATTTTATAGGAAGGTACTCTAGAGACACAGACACATGTGTGCAGAGGGAGGCAGGCAAGGAGGTTCTCTGAAATTGTCACATGATATGTCAGACAGGCAGTAACAAGGAAATTTGGGAATTACAAGTCTGGGACAGGCAAAGACTTCTTTCTTTCTTTTTGCTTTTATCAAAATACCATATTCATATAATCTTAGTAAAAACAAAACAAAACAAAAAGTATTTTCAAATGTTTTCCAGACTCTTGCCTGTCAGGATAACCACCTATTTCTACAGAAGAGTAAGGGTCACCTGTAGAGACAGTGGCAATTTTAATTAATTGGTATCTTCTCCATCCCTTTGTCCCTACCCCTGGGGAAGTCTCTGGAAATGATCAAGCCTGCTCATGCTTCTGTTCTCCTAACACAGTGATTTTTAACCCAAGTGTTGCAAGAATTTTTAAAACATGCAATACCTGGCTATTTAGTCAGAAGCACTGAGCTCTTTTCCCTTAGGCTGTCAAATTTAAAAAATGACAGCAGCCAACACAATAATCATCCAGCATGCATGAATCAAAATTAAACTTATTTTTTTTTGTTAGATCGGCAAAAAATACACTTTTTGGTGTTCTGCAGAATTTTAGTAAATAGCTTATGTGTGCCATGAGATGGAGGTTGAAAAATCGCTGCCCACACTGAACGAAAACTTTGTGGAAGAAGAAACACAGCACAGAACGATCCTGGGACAGTTCCGCAGTTTTCGCATTATCTTGCCCAGCTGGCGCTGGCTCTGGAAGCTGCTCTCACCTGGGGTTCTGTGCATTACAATGGTAGATATACTCTGATATAGTATCATCTTCAAAGAAGTCTGCAAACTTGCGCTTGAAATCTGGTCGGAATCGCTGCACCAAGCCAGGCCCTGGGAGGGGAGAGGAGAACATGGAGGGGCCAGTTTGGGTGGTGGGGGAAAGACTCCTGCCTGTGCATGCTTCAACAACTTTCACCAACATCCTTTCTCCTATTCCTGGGACCCTTACAGCCCTGTCATCTTGAGGTTATGAGTGAAACTAGACCATCTCCCAGGAGGCGGGTCATATTCAGGCCTGTAACATAATATGAGTCGAGAGGCCAACTTAACCCTGGCATTTCAAACTCGGGGCAGTTTTAGAGCAATCTGTTCTCTTCACCTTCTTTATATAGTTCATAAACAAGCAGGAGGCCACCCACAACAGATGTGTCAAAACTGAGGCCTACTGGTCAACACCTGGCCTCTCTCTTCTGGTCTTCTCTCTGCATGTGAGAAGCAAGGGGCCAGAGGGCGGCACAGCCAGGGTCTGCTGGGCCCTGGCCTCCTCCATGGCTGTCAGCTACCTGCCACAACCACATGAGCTCTGATGTCCAGGCACGAGCCCAGCTAGATTCAAGTCCAAAAAACGGGAGGGTGGAGAGAGCTGAGCTACTCCTGAACTCCTATCTTCTCCTCAAATGCTCATATTTCTCTTTTATCCAGAGCCATTCTGTTTCTCATGAAGGGCCTAGAGAGATAACTCTTATTTAGCCATTTGCAATGAACTCACAGTGATTGGCTACTGAACATTACCATGTATACATAAGCCATTAGTGTAGGACAGAGGGTCACCAACCCTTCCCATAAAGGGCAGGTGCTTTCCACTTCGTCAGAGTAGAAAGCTCCCCAGAAAGTTAGGGTGCTGGCAGTGTGAGGTCAGAAGCCTGGGGCCTATTGATTTCACTTCCTCTGGCCGGCTCCCTCGAAACGCCTTCCCTCCCTTCAGCCCCAGAGTTTGCTGACAGCTACTAAATGGTGAAGGTGTGGTGTCTGACTGGAGCAGGGCATGGTTTCAAGGGGCTTGCCTGACACTGTGGGTTGTGTTGGAGGCTCTGGTTCTGACATCTCCCTGCTGCAGGTGCTGGGTGAGCTGCAGAGGTGGGAGCCAGTGGTGGTTACCACGCTGAATCGCCGACAGGTTGCCATAAACTCATACAGGTAGCATAAGAATTCAGCGGAGGAAGAGTCACCTCAGGGTCCCTTTCTTGCTCTCTCTCTCTTCTCTCTCTCTGAGGGTCTAACCAAGGCACAGAATAGTAGTTCTGCTCCATCTGTCCCTTGCATAGGAAAGCTTTTTCCATGCAAATGAAAGGGAAAAAAAGAACCTTCTGAAACTGCAGACAAAGAAATCTGGTCCAGATTACTAGCTTGAAATAACAATGCTAGGTCAATTCCCACCTTTCAAGAACAAGCAAGGCTGATGCGAGTGCAGAGCAGTGGGGCTTCTAGAATGGGATAGCCTTGGTTTGAGGAGATAGTTTCTGTGTCTTCAGGCTACTCACCCCAGGGCCCAGCTATTCGAAGGACAGCCAGTGGGTTGGAACGCCCTAGGACAGAAGCCACAGCCTTGAACCAGGTTGGGGGTGCACGGATCTCACTGGGGTCAGTCGGCCGGAGGGGAAAGCCCCATGGATCCACCAGGATGAGGTGTTTAACTCTACAGGAGGACAAAGGAAAAGCTGTATTTGCTTGGAGATACCACAGCCATTAAATCACCCAGGACAAAAAGAACCATTGGAGATTAATACTGGAAGGTTCCCAGTGAGGCAAGGAGTTGGATGAAGGACCCGGAGGGTAGGTCCTGCTTACCTTTCAGGGTACTTGATCGAGTAAGAAGTGGCCAGGAATCCTCCCAGACTGTGTCCCAGGAGGATCATGCTGGGGATCCCCATGGTCTCCCGCCACGTCTCTATTGACATCACAAACTCATTCTCGGCCCCTTCGGGGTCCCTTGGGAATGTCGGCCTGGAGCTTCTCCCGAAGCCGAGCAGATCAAAAGTGTGCAGTGTGCGGCGGGCGCTCAGTGAATCCATGTTGAGGATCCAGAGGCCCACACCGCCCCCAAAGCCATGCACCATCACCAAGGGGGTGCGGTCCCTGAGCTCGGGGCTCACGGTCACCGTCCAGATCTTGTTCTGGTTTGGGAGCGACACATACCGGGCCAGGAACTTGTTCTGGAGACCTGGGGAGAGGAGATACAGAGTGAGCAATACATCTCTTTTCTGACAGCATCATCATTTTCCTGGATGGTCTCTCTTCAGCTCTGTCCCTCCATTCCCAAACCTACCTGACCTCCCTCACCTCTTTCCCTTTACAATCCTCTCACCATACACCCCAAGAGTTAAACTCTGAGTACAATCTGTAGGCCATCTATTCTGTAGGTAATAAGAGTGGCCATCTTATTCCTCGAGGCTGTTTGCCTGGCTCCCTTTGGGCACAGGGTGGCAGTGACTCCACCACCCTACAGAGCTTCTGTACCCATTGCTCTTGTGCCTGTGTGCTCGGGGCTTGACAGACGGACAGAAGTGTTCTCACTGAGGGTATCTGGGAGGAGGGCTGTCAGCTGGAGCTGAGACAGGTGGAGGGTGTGACAGGTGTGAAGTGAGCCATTGGCTTAGTTCACTTAGAGACAGACCAAGGTGGGCTGTGCTTGCTGGTGCGCAGGCAATTCCATGCCAGAGCTGCCTGGGGAAAGTCACATGGATCCTGGACAAAAGCTTGAAAGCTGTGGCTATTCTTCAGTTGTACTTACTCAGGCCCGTAAGAGGTGAGCGTAGCTAGGGAAATAGAACAGGGCAGGTAAGATATGACAAAAACAGGGAGATGTGGCCCAAGGGCCTTGTTTGAGCCAGTGGCTGCTGATGCTCACGGAATGCCCTGCCCCAATATAACACTGCCCAGGAGCTGGTCCGGGGGAATCTCTAACTCCTGTCTCAAACCAGAGAAGTGGTGGGGAAATAGTAATATGAGAGCATATAGGACTTGTTTGCTGGTCTTTGGGTTGCAAGGTGGTAATTCTAAGAAGTGCTTGTGTGTTTGGAAGAACAGACAGGGAGAAAGAAAGTAGAGAGGAGTAGGAGAAGGAAGAAAAGGAGAGAATATGTGTATTTGTGTGAGTTGTGTGCTCACAGTTAGTATAGGGTTGGCGGTGAGGTTGTGGGATGTGGCAAGAATCACATGATGGACAGGGAGGGCGACAATGAGGAACCATTATCATAGAATTCAGTGTCCTCCGTATAAATCTCTCCCCTTAGATCACTGACAACCTTTCCTCCCACCCGCAAACACTTTTTATCAGGAGTCAGAGGGCTCAGTGTACCAGGCTCGGGGAAGATCCCGGATCCTCCTTAGGCCTCCTGAGGGAGGTGGCACAGGCTGTCCCTGCTACTTACACTGGAGGATCTTGGCTTCCACATTCTTCAATTGAGACATCGAAGTGGGGCGCCAAGCTGGCAGCCAGCTGCTCAGCCAGCCTTGAGGCCTGGGACAAAGAGACACAGAGGTGCTCATTGGCAACATTGGAGAGGAAACATTGATGCCCCAGCCTTGCTGACAGATACAAAAGAGTTATCAGGGTACAGGGTGTTTTCCAGGCTCAGGAGACCTCCCACTATGGCAGTCAGCAATTCCCTCACGGCCTGATAGACTGTTACTCTTCTCTGGTAAATGGCTATTAACAACACGCTCTTTGTTTCCGAGGTCCTCGGAATATCATGTGCACAGCACTTTACAGTTTACAAAGCACTTTCACACGTATCTCATTGGAGCTTCACAAACCCTTTTGCCACTGGTTTTCATGTTTCAGGAGATTGTAAGGGGGGACAAAACCACTTTTAGCTACTGCCTCAGTTATCTTTTGCTATTTCCCAGGACTGAATGTTCCTTTAGAATAGGACAAGTTCCCATGCCACCTGGCCTCCTGGCAGGGCACTGCAGTTTGTGTGTGCCCTCTTTCAAGCCCCTGGAAGTATAGAGCACTGTCAGTGCCCAGCTGGGCTCTCGGGAAATCCTTCAGCAACCAGATGGGGTAGACAGCAAGCAAGAGATGGAGACCTAGGTTCAAGTCCTGCTGTGAATCCCCAACTGGATACAGGTTGCCTCTGGCCTTGTTTTCAGATTATAAAAAGAATAATGAATAAGACCTCATATAGGTCTTATCTCACATAACAGGCAATAAAACAGAGAAGATAAGCTATTCTGCTTTCTCCTTCATATCCACAGGACTTTAAGTCATTGCAGAGTAAAGTTGAAAGCACCAGTCTTGGAAAAAAACAAAACAAAAAAAGACCCACCTTGGATCTGAGTCACAGTATTATCATTTTCGAGCAGAATGGCTTTGGCCTGATGAACAGCCTGCCTTTGAGCACTTAGATATGGAAGGGAATGTATAAGGTGTCTGGTACAAATTAGATGCTCAATGAATGAGTTTTTGTTATTCCTTTTCCATTGCATATGATATAGTTCTCTTTTCTGGGCGAAGAGGATTATAGAATGGACACACCAGCTGTGGGAAAGGCCTATGAACATTAGTAGAGTCACACAGCATTCTGTGGGAGAACGAGAGGAATCACTGCCAACTTCTCCTCCCGTCCCCACAGCACACCCTGGGCATCCTGGTACATCAGTCGAAGCACAGAGCTTTAGATAAAGATGGCCCTTAGAAATCATCTAGCCCGGTCTCTTTATTTTACAGATGACCAAACCGCTGCCCAAAGAGGTCAGACAGCTAGTGAGAAAAAGAAGCAGAACTAGAAAACCCAGATTTCAAATTACTTCTTCTCTGGAAGTTCCAGCTTTGGCTTTTCGAGGCCATGCATGAATACGTAACAGTTTACAACACAATTTTCACACTGGTTTCTGTTTTCTGAAAGAAGGTGTGATCTAAGGCCAGAAGGCCAGAATTCTATTCCTGGCACTGCCACTTACCAGCAATATGACTTCCACTTTCTCTGTCAAACTTTCCTCACCTTTAAAAGGGCGGTAGTAATAGTATCTACCTCACAGATGAAGATTAAACGAGTTAATGCACCTAAAATACATAAAGCCTAGCACAAGATAAATTCCCCATAAACATTTCCCCCCAGCAAAATCATAAGCTGTTTTGCAAGTAGCGAGTCTCAATGACTGTTTGAGGTTTGAAAGAAATACTGAGGTAGAGTGGTACATCAGTGATTTTAGAGCCAGATGAGAGTTGTCAGTTTCATCAACCAAATTCTACAGAGACTCATAACCCTTTTAATTTCCCACTGGAATTCCTTGTAAGCTTGAAGCATCTGGATCCCACATGGCAGCACTCAGGAGATACGTTGTTCCATGGAACAGCACTGTGGACTACTCAGCAGATAGTCAGGGGGTTTTTACTTTGTCTCTCTTTTTCACCAAAAATGTCGCAGGTAAAGCCCTGGAAATATTATCTGGCATACTGAATCTGGTTGATACAATTGGGGAGGTGAGGGATGGAGATAGGGGGGTTCAGGCAAAAAGAAGAGAAGCCACTTAGTCATGAACTTAGGCTGGCCGGGGTGGTCTCTTCCCTCAGAGCATTTTTATCCCGACGGAGGTAAGGTAGAAGGGGTTCTGTGCGGGGTCTGTGATCTTGGGCAAGTCTTCTAACTTTTATGGGCACTGACTTCATCTGCAAAAAAGAGCCGAACCACCCGCATCTCACCCAGCTCTAATGTTTCTCTACGTCACTGTAGCTGTTGTCCAGTTCTTGGAAAGGTTATCTTAGAGAGCAACTCTCCTGGGCAGCTTCTTCCAGGCCAGGAAGCTACTGCTGTCATAAAGTTAATTCCTTTTGCAAACTGCCAGTGACGCTGGTCTGAAAAGGGGGGCCGTGGGACCCACAAAAGGCCCTGAGCAAGTGAAACCTGAGGCTTGGCTGGGAGCTGAGTCATTCTTCTGGAAGCAACTTTGCCTGGCTCCTAGAGAGACTGCAAATGGCTAACCGCACCAGCTACAGGTGGCGCCCCAAACCCAATGCCCTTGAGGTGGTGGTGACAATTGCCAAGAGCTCTAATTTGGAGACCAAAGCATAAAAGATAAATTATGAAGATTAAGAACATGTATCCACTAGGATCTCAAGTTGCAAAGTGTCTCCGCGGGTGAGAACCAAAGAAGGCTTGCAAAAGCCCATTCATTATTCCAAGTAGACCAATGCCAGCGCGGTGGAGGCCATTCTCCTCTGCCCCTGCCCTCTCCGTGCCCTGCGAAAGGAGGCTCTTCCCACCATCGACTTCCAAGCCAGGGCCAGTCCAGACAGGCAGACCTGGCTGCTTCCCCCTGTCCCCCTCCGCACCCCCGCCCCGCAACCGCATCCCACCAGCATGCTTCGGTGGATCTCAGACATTCCCACGGGATCTGATCTCCGAGTGCAGCGGGCGGAGGAGAACGAGGAGCGACCGTGGAGATTGACGGGGAAAGTTCGAATCCCGGAGCTGCATGCAAGCTAACTTATTTCCCATCGCTCCCCCGGCTCTGCCGCCGCCGCCGGGCAAAAGCAAAGCAAGCACAGACATCCCCCAACCCTCCCCGGAGGCCGACCTGAGACAGGAAAGGCGGGAAGATGTCTAAAAGTGTTCCTCAGCCACAGACAGTCCCAGGATCAGGGGCTAGAGAGAGACAGAGAAAGGGAAAGGGACAGGGTTAACTCACTGCTGCTCCAGATCATCAGCCATAGTAAACAAGCCCTGCCGGGTCGAGCCGAGCCAGCCCATCCCTCTGCCTGACGCCAGCACCAGCTGACCTAGCAGAGGGTCGGATAACAAAGTGGGGCGGGGCCAGCGCTGCACGGGGCGGGGAGGCGAGGCCCTCGGGACAGGGACGCAGGCCTGGAACCTGGGCGGGTGGCGGGGACCCCGCGCCGCGGGTGCAGGCGGAGTGGTCTCCCGGGCTCGCAGAATAGTACCGTAATTCTGGGCACACGTTTGGGAGGCAGTGAGGGAGGTGAGTAGTACCGAAACCACCCAGTCCCTCCCGGGAGCTCACCGGCCCTCCGTGCTCTCATCATCAGAAAGTGACAGGACCCCCTCCCTGCCCCCCAGCAGGTGCTCACACGTTTTGCGCTTCCTTATTCTATAGCTCCCCTGCTGTCCTCGGAAGTCCTCCCCTGCTGCCCTTTCTAATCAGGTGCTTATGATGTTTGTGGAGACCACACCGCTGGTTAAATGCTCCTCCCAAGGGTCCGTGCCCTAAGTAGATGGCCAGGTTTCAAAAATAAAGAACAGGACGCCTCCAAGTAAAACTGAATTTCAGGCGAACAACAAATACTGTTATAGAACTAGTAAGTTCCGTGTAATGTTTGGGACATGACTTGGCATCCTGTATTTTTAATTGTCAACCCTAAATCTAAGCGACATTATTTCAAGATGCAAATCCTTTGCTCTAGGCTCCCTAACCTGGTTTCCTGGAAGATGTGGCTCAACCCCAGGTCTCTCACAGTTTGGAAGATCCCCAGCTCCCTCCTCCTCTCCTCTGGAGGGGAGTTGAACTAACAAGACTAGGCCTGCTTTAGGGGTGTGGGAGTTTGGAGGAGAGGGTGGCTGGCTTGGCTCAGAGTTCCCAAGTGTACTTCAGGTTTGCTCAGCAGGGGAGCCAAATCTTGAGGCTGACTCCAGACCTTTACCTGAACTGGTAAACAGGGTCTGGTGTCCCCGGAGCTGTCTGATTTCAGGCTGTCCCTAGGTTAGGTTAAAATTAGACTTTGGGAGAATGCTAGAAGGGTTTGTCAAGGTGTTTTCTTTAGCCATCCTTCAGGACTCGGGAGAATGAGATTTCTTCTTTCTTGTAACAGTGTCAAAATGATCTGAGTATCATGGTAAGGGCCTAAATATTAAGAGAATGGGCATTTATAGAGCTTAGGGGCCTAGAAATTTGCAATATATACTGAGTGGCCAGATTATTATGATCTCTGAATGCATAATAATCTGGCCACTCAGTGTATATCCTATATAATAAAAGGCTAATGTGCAAATTGTCCCCTCAACCAGGAGTTCAACTGGCAGGCAGGCTGGCCAACCGCCCATGTCCCCTCCCCTGACCAGGCTGACCGGATACCACCCATGCACTGGGCCTCATGCGTTCAGAGATCATAATAATCTGGCCACTCAGTGTACAAATAGCAGAGGACCTGTCTCATTCATTCATTCAACCCAAAGCGGAGTGGTCCTAAACTTCGGTGTGCCTAAGAATCATCTGGAGGGCTTGTTAAAAGGTTTCCTATCCTCTGAGATTCCAATTAAGTTGCATTGGCTTGGTGCTAAAAAGCTGCATTTTTAGGAAGCATTCCAGATGCAGGAGTTTAGCCTGACACATTGGTTAAGCAATAGCTTCTGGGGTCAGAAGCCTGGGTTAAGGCCAATCATGATTTTGCCATTTATCAGCTACGTGCCCTTGAATAAGTGATTTACTGTCTCTTAATTTTCTTTCTCTGTCTTGTGCCTTATTGTAAGGATTAACCAAGATAATTCAAATAAACATTTAGTACACTTATTTATTCTAGAATGTTACTTATTCTATTATTGTCATTATTATATACAAATGTATTCAAAGCCAAGCATTATTTTAGACACCAACAATACCATTATCAAAAGGAAAAGATAACCCTGGCTGGTGTGACTCCGTTGGTTAGAATATTGACCTGTGCACCAAAAAGCGGTGGGTTTGATTCCTGGTCAGAGCACATACCTAGGCTTAGGTTCTATCCCCAGTGGGGACACAGATAATGATATTTCTCTCTCTCTCAGATTAATTTTTAAAAGTTATTATAAAAATGATAGCCTGCTCTAGCGGTAAACATAGATTTTCTATCTGCTGCCATCCTAGGCTGTTTCTCAGCAACTTTGTATTTAGAGTTCAGCTCAAACTTCCCCTCTTCTGCTGAAACTGGTTTGGCCCAGAGGATAGAGCCTGTGCACTCAAGGGTCTCAGGTTCGATTCTGGTCAAGGGCATGTACCTTGGTTGCTGGCACATCCCTGGTGGGGGGTGTGCAAGAGGAGGCTGATCTATGTTTCTAACTCCCTACCCCTCTCTCTTCCTCTCTGTAAAAATTATATATATAATTCTTTTTAAGTCTACATTAAAAAAAAACAAAAAAACAAAAAGCTTCCCCTCTTCTGAGGCCTTTCCTGACCGCACGGTCTAAAAGAGTCACCTAGTCTATCACATTATTTTCTTCATAACACTTATCACTATCTGAAATTCTCATGCGTATTTGTTTACTCTCAATTATTATCAGCTTCCCTCCAATACAGTCTAAAGTTCACGAGGGACCTTGTCTGTTTTTTTCTCTGCTCTGCTGCCAGCACCTAGGACAGGATGTGACACAGAGTAGACAATCAGTACTTACTGGACAAATAAATGGATGAAAAGTCTAGCCAGGAGGAGATAGTTAAACAATTACCTATAAAACAATGCACTAAGTGTCAAGGGCTTTGGGAGCTGTATTTTAAATTGTACTACATGGGAAATTCTTGGCTACATTACTTGGAGACAGGGCAACAAAACCTCCCATTTTTCTGAAAACCAGTAGAATGAGAACTTTTTGAGGCAAGGATGACTGTCTGTAACTCTCCAGACCTCATTTCAGGAGGCAGTGCAGAAGAGTCTTTGATGTGCCAAACCAGCTTTACAGTAGAGGTTGCTTGGAAGTAGGAAACTCGAACATATGTAAAAATGCCTGTGATAATCAAAGTTAATAGATCTCTTAAGATGCTGAGATATCTTAGGACCAGGTTAGGTCTGTTAGAGTTATAGCAAAGAAGACTCTCAGTGCCTGCTCTGGACAGGCCTCTGGGGAGATGGGTAAGGTATTTTTTTCTCCTTAGCTTCAAGACAAGATTCACTGTGCAAGTATGAAAGATTCTCCCATCTACCTCCAACATGTGTGATTAAAATGCTAATATGGTCTTTATGAATAAAACCTAACTTTGACAAACCCTCTTTCCTGGGCCTGTAAGTTATGTTAAACATTCCAGAAATAGGTGGAATAACCTAATAGCTTAGGCTTCACAGGGATGGATCATTCTTCTGTTTCAAACGTGTCGTTGCCTTTTGAACAAACTATGACCAAGGTGTAACCCTTGGATTAAACATAGGAATTGAATAGAACAGTTGTAAAGTTTCTCAGTCCAATATGTTAACCACTAGCTACATGTGGCTATTTAAATTTAAATTAATAAAAGTTAAATAGCCCAGCCGGTGTGGACCATCGACCTATGAACTAGGAGGCCACAGTTAGATTCCCAGTCAGGGCACATGCCCAAGTTGCAAGCTTGATCCCCAGTAGGAGTTGTGCAAGAGGCAGCCAATCAATGATTCTCATCATTGATGTTTCCATCTCTCTCTCCCTTTTCCTTCCTCTCTGAAATAATAAAAATATATTTTTAAAAATTTAAATAAAAGTCACCCTAGCTATATTTCAAATGCTCAATAGCCACAGGTATTTAGTAGCTACCATATTGGACAGCACAGAGACATTTTCATCATCACAGAAAATCCTATTGGGCAATGTTGTCAAGCACAAATTATTTTAGCCCAAAGTGTCAAGAGTGTTTTGCCTGTAGACTGTTTTCATGCCAGGGAGGGAGCAAGACTGAGGAGTTCTCTTTATCAGACTAAGAGGTAAGGAAATCAGACAAAGGGGCCTGAAAATTTGTTTCACTCCATCAGAGGCTGCAAGGACAGTTAGCCTATATAATAAAGAGGCAATATGCAAATTGACCATCACACCCTTGCACAAGATGGCTGCCCCTATATGGTTTCAAGATGGCTACCCCTATGTTGATATGAGATGGCCGCCCCATGTGGTCACAAGATGCCCATGCCCATGTTATCACAAGATGGTCGTCACAAGATGGCCAACAAGGGAGGGTATTTGGGAGCAAACAGGCCAGCAAGGGAGGGCAGTTGGGGGCAACCAGGCCGGCAGGGGAGGGCAATTAGGGATGACCAAGCTGGCAGGGGAATGGTTAGGGGATGATCAGGCTGGCAGGCAGAAGCGGTTAGGGGCAATCAGGCGAGCGGTTGGGAGCCAGCAGTCCTGGATTGTGAGATGGATGTCCGACTGGCAGTCAGATATCCCCCAGATTGGAGTGGGTGCAGGCTGGGCTGAGGGACACCTCCCACCCAGTGCACAAATTTCATGCACTGGGCCTCTAGTGTTAGGATAAAGGGATATGGGTTCATTGAAGATTATTTGCTGCTTTATTAGGATTTAAACAGAGAGTTGATACTATAGAAATTTGACTTTGTGCTATTTGAAATTTGATTTCTCTTAAAATTTTCAACCTTAAAATAATAACCTATTTAATACATTCGATTAGAAAACAAGGTAAAAGCAAAACTAATTTCCTTTTCTGTACTCAAATAAACACTTCTGACACCCAATGTGTGGGTGTTTTTACACCAAGCATTTTTCCAATTCTTGGAAGACACCAACTGGGTGTCTTACAATTGAACTCAATACTGACACCAACTGCCCTGAGTTAGTGCAGATTCCATAGGTTAAGGGCTCAGTCTCATAAGACTGTCCCCTACCCCAACTTCAGACACCAATCTCAAGTCCAGATTGTCACCTGTGTTCCTGACAACCAACTATAAATTTGAGGTTCCCATCTTCCCCTCCTCGGGTTCAAAATTTTTCTAAATTGATTCACAGAACCCAGGGAAAAATTACTTACTAGATGATTGGTTTATTATAAAAGAACTAGAGGTCCAGTGCACACAAAAAATTGTGCACTGGGGGAGGGGGTCCCTCAGCCCGGCCTGCCCCCTCTTACAGTCCAGGAGCCCTCTGGAGATGTCCTACTGATGGCTTAAGCCACAGTCTGGCCTCCCTCTACAGGAGGAAACCAGGTTGATAAGGGGAAGGCGCCACCCCTATTACCCAGCTGCTGCTGCCACTGCTGGCCAGGGTGGCTGTGAGGCCTGAGCCCCAGGCCTCATGGCTGCCGGGTTCACAGCTGCCTGAGTCCACAGCTGCCATGAGCCCATGGCTACCTGAGCCTGGGGCCTTTCAGCCACTGTGGCTTTGTCCGGATGGACATCCACCCTAATTAGCATATTACCCTTTTATTATTATACTATAGATATAGCCCAGGAACAGCCATATGGAAGAGGTGCCTAGGGTGAGGTATGAAGGAAGGGGCAAAGAGCTTCTGTGTCTTCTCGACAGTATAACCCTTTCAGCATAGTGAACCTTTGGTTAGAGGTTTTTTGTTTGTTTGTTTGTTTGTTTTTTTAAATGGAGGCTATATTATATAGGCATGGCTGATTAAATCATTGACCATTGGTAAATGAATTCAATCTCCAGGTGGGGTGTTGGACTGAAAGTTTCAACCCTCTACTCCTGTGGATGGTTCCCCTGACAACCATTTTGTTAGGGGCTTTCTAAAAGTCACTTTATTAATATAAACTCAAGTGTGGTTGTGTGGAGGAGAAGGAACTTTCCTCTACCCTCTTAGCTTTTTCTAGCTGGTCCAGTAATCAAATAGACATGAGGGAGATTAACAAGAGAAAAAATGGCCCTGGCCTGTTTGACTCAGTGGATAGAGTATCGGCCTGTGGACTGAAAGGTCCCAGGTTGGAATCCGGTCAGGGGCATGTACTTCGGTTGTGGGCACATCCCCAGTAGGAGGAGTGCAAGAGGTAGCTGATCGATGTTTCTCTCTCATCGATGTTTCTAACTCTCTCTCCCTCTCCCTTCCTCTCTGTAAAAAAATCAATTAAATATATTTTTTAAAAAGAGGAAAAAAAATCTGCAAACCTCTAGCGTGCTTGGATCTGGGCGACCCTGTGCATTCCTACTGAGCTTGTGAGAACATTTTGGAACGATTTGAGGCCTTGCCCTGCTGCATCCGGAGCAAGGTTATAGACATTTCAGACAATTGCAGGGGAGGGAGGGGAAATGACCAAATTTAATTACATATGTAGATATGAGAACTACACACATACATGAGGTATATATGAGCTAAGGACAAGGCAAAATAGAGACAGGAAGGTCATTCATTCTCAGAAGAATAAGAGTGGATGTTAGAACTCTGTCCCACTCTATAGATAGGTCATAAAAAGTTATTTCTGATGATGACTCTTATTATGGGTAAGGCCCTTAATTTAAATTCTTTAAGGGAGAGGTAAAAGTTTCTTGGGGACCCTCGGGATCTCAGTTGCCTTCAGCTCAAAATAATTCACTTGCCCAAACAGCACATCTTGGGGAGGCCTGTTCTAAAGTCCTTCAGTTGGAAAGGCCTTGTTACAAATACAAAGGGTGCCCCTTTCACCTTTGTTGCTCTAGAGCTAGTTCAGGAAGTGAGGACAAAACCAAATATTACAACAAAAGATTGCTCCCATCTTAGGAAATTACAAGGACTTTAGAAACTCTGTGCCAGGAACCAGGGTTGAAGACCAAATATGTGTTTCTTATTATAGCACAATAAAATGTATCATATAAGGAAAGGGAGTTTTGGCCACATTGTGGCCAACGTTTAAAAGGTGGAGCTGTTACATGCGATATTAAAGACAAGCAAAAGGAGGGATCTGAAAGAGAAAGTGAAAATACAAGGGGAAAGAATTGGAAAAGACACAAGAGATTCTTCTTTCACATATATATATATATATTTAGGAGGGTCCTTTTCTTTGGAGGATTTGTGTTTCTTTTGATAAAGAATGCCATTTAAAAAATACATTTTATTTATTTTTTTATAGAGAGGAAGGAAGAGGGAGAGTTAGAAACATCGATGGGAGAGATACATCAATCAGCTGCTTCCTGCACACCCCCTACTGGGGATGTGCCCATAACCAAGGTACATAACCTTGACCGGAATCGAACCTGGGACCCTTGAGTCCGCAGGCTGACACTCTATCCACTGAGCCAAACCAGGTAGGGTAAGAATGCCATTTTTAACTGGAGAGACACACTGTAAAATCATGGCCTTGGCTTTTAAGGGAGACTCTCTTGCTCCTTTACTTTCCCGTTGTTTTATAATGTTAAGTGTTGAAGGGTAGTGGAATAGGTCACCTAAAAATATGTCACTGACACATTAGGATTATTTCTAGTTGAAAGCAACTGAGAAGCAGCAGGATACAAGAAAAGCTATTTCCTATTTGTCTAAAAGCAGGACATAAACTTGCAGGGAGTTCCCCTCCTCTCTCTATCAGTAAGAACAAAAGAACTCTAGATGCTTATCAGCCAGAGAAGGCACCAGAGGAATGATCTAACCAATTTTACTAAGTCTTATTTTTCATTAATTCCCTTTTATATTTACTCACGGTTGGCTGTCCTAGAAACTCAGTCCTTTCCCTTTGCCTTGTCACTTCCCTAAAAATAATAGCATATTGCCCCTTTTTTGTTAAGTTGCTCTATGAGCCCAAGTTCTAATAACCCTTCTGAGTTACTCATAATTGAGTGTTCTCATATATATGTGCAACACACATATTAACAGACATATTTTTTTGTTTTTCTCTTGTTAAATTGTCTTTTGTCAGTCTAATTTACAGGTACAGTGAACTTAAGATAGGTAGAGAGAAAGCAGTTTTTTTTTTCTTGTTAAAAGATAAACAGACATATTAACAATTTTCAGAGTTTATTTGAGCAAAAATTGGTTCCAATTGAGCATCATCCAATCTAGCAGACAGAAAGGAGCTCTGAAGAGCTGTACAAAACCAAAGACTTTTATAGCCAGAAGGAAGTGGCAATAAGGAATTATATCAAGGCCCCCCCACTCCCCCCCAAAAAGTGTTGTTTATTACCAGTTTACTTTCCTTTAGGGGATGTCTGGGGTCCTTTGGCAGATTACCTAGTTAGTGTTGACCAGGTAGTTCCTGATCAACTGGTTTAAAATTCCATTTCTGGGATAGCTGAATCTGTAACTAAGTTAAATCTCAGTTTGGTGATGTGGGATTTAGCATAAGCAACTCCATTTTGGGTGTATTGTTTTGTTTATAATACTCTCCAATAGCACTTTTACTAATAAAACTCCTAAGGTCTACTGTGACTTCAGCTTCAATTTATACATTTGATTTGCCCTTTGAGAGCCACCTGAGTTGCAATCACTCCAGTTCCATTTTTTTGTATGCCCAAAATATTGGGGCTCTGTGGTTTAGCCAAGTTTTATTGATTTATTTTTAACTTATTGATTAGAGAGAGAGAAACATCAATTTGTTCCACTTATTCATGCATTCATTGGTTGTGGCCTGACTGGGATCAACCAGCTGTTATGATGTACCCCGAATCTCACAAAGGACGCTTCAAAAAAAGTCGAATTATGGAGTCATTTATTAAAAGCCGGGGGCTGACGAGGGGCAAAAGCGCTGCAGACCTCACAGCCCTGAACAGCTTGCCACGCCTGGCTTATATTGGCAGAATATCACAAAAATATTGATTACCTCTGTGGGTCTGGAAAGAGAAACCTGTTCCTCGATTTTACAGAAGTGAAACTGAGCAAGTTCGTTATCTAGTATCTACGAATCACTGAAACAACAGAAACACATTATCTGGGACCACCAGGGCAATTTAGAATAATTGTGCTGTCCAGATTATGGAATCACTGAGTCAACAGGAATGCACTATCTGTAGCTACTGAGGCAATTTAGGATAATTGAACTATCTTGGATCCCAGAGGAATGTGCTTCGATGACCAGTGAGATCACAATTAATGGGATATTCAAACCATCATCAATGGAGTATTGGGATAGCATGCATAAGTTCAGAAAATCAAAATAACTTTTAAATGAGTACAGAACCCAAAACAGCAAGGTTAAAATATTAAACAGCAATTTTTACCCAAGTATGGTTGCTTCTATACTTCACAGCAACCTTGGCTTATTAGGATGATGCTCTAAACAACTGAGTACCTGGCCAGGGCTCCTTGGCCAATTTGAAGTATTCAGAGGAATAGGGGAAGCAGTCATACATACCAAGATGAGTAATAAATAATAATAGCTAATATTTACTGTACATTCACTGTGTTTTAAGTACCATACTAGGTGCTTAATGCTTAACATTTAATAATCACAACATTATAACAACCTAGGTATTGTTACTTCCATTTTATAGAAAAGGAAAATGACTTCCATTTTATAGAAAAGGAAAATGTCAGACTAATTTGTCCTACATTAAATCACTACTGAACAGCAGAGCCAAGGCTCAAATTCAGGATTGTCTGATCCTAGAGGGTGCACTCTTACCCACTAGTCTGGACATGAACTTTTACATGTATTACTATTCTAATTTAAACTACTGAAACTATTGAACCATTAGTATTAGCAATTTCCTATTGACAGATTATAGATTCAATGATTATAGAATCACAAACTGAACACATAACAAAACATTTCATTTTCTTGCTGTTTTAAGTAGTCCACAAAGGCTTTTAGTTCATTCTATTGGCATTTGACTTTGCAGGTCTCAGAAAAGGATGCATTCTGTAGGTGAATTTGATGTTTTTTCATCTCTTCTGCTTTCCCATTGTGGGATTTCCTGTAGAGATGCTAATGATATTTGGCATGGATCAAAGGCACACAAAACATAAGGGAAAAAAAAATGCTGGAAGGAGCCTGGATGATGGAATAACCTCCCTCTCTCCTCTGAGGAATCTATTCCTGAATGATTAAAATGTATCAGCTAAGCCTTTAAAGTTTGAGGTTGAATTCTGGTGAGGAAGCTATCCTCTTACTTGGTCATGAGGAGGATTGGAGAAAGGTTCAACTTGTCAGAGAAACTTATTCTTCTTGTCATATTATATTGAAATAAAAAGCAGAGGGGTTACCCCCTCTCGCTGCCCCCTCCCCCAGCAACAGCAGAGAGTTTAAGCTGAATTTAAATTCATATAACAATTCAAATCTCTGTGTGTCTAAATATATACACCTCTCTTCAAATAAATTGTAAAACTTTCTGAGGACATGGATTATTTTTCTTCTTTCTAGAACCTAAGCAAGGCTTTGCCCACCACTGATAATCAGTACGTTAGTTGATGCCGATAAATTTTCCAGTCTAAACACACACACACACACACACACACACACACACACACAAAATAAAGGAACATTGTCATTCACTTGTTTTAGGCATTTTATCGAATACCTAGGATAGCTCAAAGTTATTAATAAGCTGAAAAAGTACCTGCTTATGTGTGACTTGCAGCTGGAAGGTGAGATGAACTAAGTCTGGAAGGTCAAGTTCATGTGAAATCAAAAGGGCCACGGAATCCAGAAATTAAAGTGAACCTTATTTTGTAAAAAAAGTTAAAACGGTAAATATAGTTAACCCTACTTGTTAAAATATAAAACCTCAAATCTTCAGTTTCCTCTACAAAATGAGTTGGAGTGGAAAGGGGTTGAACCAGGAAATGCTTTTAGGAGCCTTTCAGCACTGACATCCTGGGATATTACACTGGGTTCAAGAATCCATCTTGGGGCTAAAAAAGCTGCTAAACCTTGTTTACTTTATGCACTTGAATCAACTGTTTTACTCTCACCCTCCACCTCCCCACCTCGCCTCGCTTCCTTCTCTCCACCTCTCCCTTCGTTCTCTTCCCAATCACCGGCTCTTTTTAGACTGCATGATTCCTCCGGAGGGTACCTACAACTTGACATGGGGCCCGAGGAGGTACCCAATAAACGTTTGCTGAATGAATGAATGAATACCCGTGGGCTTAGGTTCTACCGCGCTTACTCATAAGCACCTCCAGGGCCAGCTCAGGGCCCTTGGAGAGGGCAAGCTCACTCGCTCTCTACTCGCCGCACTTCCCTCCTCCAACAACCACTTCTAAACTGGTGCCTGAGCAGTTATTCGCTGCAGTGGCTTTCACTGCTGGTGGACTAACGACTTGTTCTAATGATCTGGGACAGGCATATGCAGTCCGAGCCATGGCCGAGCTGGTACTGAACATGAGGAGCGCCAGGCATGGACGTAAAACGGAACCAGTTAATCTTTGAGGAGCAAAGGGAGAGCGGGAACTCGGGTAGCTACTCGGTCCGCAGTAAAACTTCTCTGCTTCCTTTCACAGTATCTTGTTGCCAGAGCAACTGCGAGCGTCACTGACGTGACTACAAAGACGGGGTAGAAAGCGTACACGTCTCCAGCCTAGACGGAAGATCTATTGCGCAGGCGCATTAGCTGTACTGGCGGTAGTTCTGTGCCAGTCGACTGTTCTGCGCCTGCGCATTGGTTGTCTCGCGCTTTGGCCCACCTCTACGCCTGCGCAAATTGGCCAATCGGGGCGGGTGGAGCTGGGGGTACGGCGTTGCGCACGCGCGAACGCTATATCCGGTGTGGTGGTCGTTTCCTCTCGGAGTTTGGCGAGAGCGGACCGACGTTATCGATCTCGTAGTCATGTCGGCCTCGGTAGTGTCGGTCATCTCGCGGTTCTTAGAAGAATACTTGAGCACCACGCCTCAGCGTCTGAAGCTGCTGGACGCGTATCTCCTGTATATACTGCTGACCGGGGCGCTGCAGTTCGGTTATTGTCTCCTCGTGGGGACCTTTCCCTTCAACTCTTTCCTCTCGGGCTTCATCTCTTGTGTGGGGAGCTTCATCCTAGCGGGTAATAATTCTATAAGTAATCGCAGTAATGTTATTTTGGTGCGTTGCTTTTAATTCCCACAGACCACCGCCTCGTGAAGTTGTGAGAGGAGCCTGCATTGCCCTCTTTCTGTGAATGATGGGGAAATTGAGGCCCAGAAAGGTTGTCACGTACCAAATAGCCCCAAACCGCTTAGTAGCTGGAAATAAATCTGTAGAAAATCGCCTTTCATGCTGCTGCTCCCTGGTGATCCACATCACTTCGTTTGGGTCCAGGGAAAACTTGATTCCAATTTTCACTTAGCTTTAACACCCTTTTGAAGTTGGTGGACTTTTAAAATGGAAAACGCACCTCTGAAGCAGCTCTCACCTTGACGTAATCATTACCAATTTCTGGTGAAATGTTTCAATGAACAGTGTAAGAAATATAAAGTATGGGAGCTTTGCTTGTTGAATCATTCTTTACTTGACTTTGGCTTTAAGCTGCTCCTGCTTATTTCTTGTGGATGAAGATGTTATTTTACTACCCTGAACTCAGTTTTTATTCACATAGTTCTATTTTTTATTTGTTTTTTTTAAAACAAGGAGTCATCCTTGACTTAAAAAATATATATATTTTTATTAATTTCGGAGAGGAAGGGAGAGGAAGAAGAGAAACAATGTAAAAGGGAAACCTGGATCTGCTGCCTCTTGCATGCCCCTTGCCAGGAATTGAGCCCACAATCCAGGAATCCACCTGGCAACCTTTTGGTGCATGGGATGATGCCCAACCACCTGAGCCACACTGGCCAGGGCACATAGTTCTATTTTAGCATTATTCTTTCTGATTCCTACTAGTGTTTGATATCTTGAGGACTGCCAAATTTAATGAGAGCTAACTTTCCTAAAATTTTTGCCAAAAATCTGACCTTTTTTCTTGAACAGGGATTCAATGAATACTGAGTCCAGAATGGGGTCAGGGAGTGTTAGCTAGTCCAGTTCATAGGTGGCTACCACATGAACCTTGTCAGTCACTGGTACTTTCTGCTACATGACTTTAAAAACATGCTAGAATTCATGTTTGTTTGTTTTTTCCAGTGATCCTTATCAGGCCATCATATTTTGAATCTAATCACATTGGTATTATGGTAAAAGCTTTGAGGATACATCAAATATATGTTCCTCAAATCGTTTACAGTCTATTTAGAGCACAGACAAAACATAGCGTTAAAATGGTCTGGAGACTTCGTTTACAGTGGAGACTTCATTACAGCTTTATGTATAGATCTGTAGAATGCTTTTACACATTCACATTACCTTATTTAGATAAACTCTACCTTCTCTCTTTCTTAGAACTTAAAATTAAGTCCAAGGGCTTAATGACTTTTGCACTCGCCTGGTCTGGTGTTGCAGTTAGCCTATTGATAAGTTGAATATTTCATTACCTTTATATTTTGCCTTAGATGACCAAGACCTGGTTCTCTGTGGCAGCATTTTGGCCTTCAGGAGTTGACAGGGTGCCATAATCAGATATCCTACCCTCTTTGCTATAGACTCTTTCTCCCCTTACTCCAAATTCTGTTCATAACTAAGAATTTTTATTAGCCAAATGGGAGAAGGAATCTTGAGAAGCTCTGGAGAATTTTGTTTGGTAATTTTGTCTTTCCGGTCTGAAAAGCGTAGGAATAGGGTAGGGCCTAAAAGTTGATTTAAATAAAGACATTTCTATTCTGAAATGACCCTGGCTTCGTAAGTTTCTAGGGTTAAAATGACTCCTCAGGGCTACATGGACTACTAGAGTTGTATGCTAAAACCAGAAGATTTTTTTGAGCAGATAATTTTTCTTTATGCCAAGTCCTGTTTTTGGAGTTGTTGTGGTTAAAGGAGAATTGGCAGATTCCCTTTCCTTTTCCTCAATGAGAAGTTAATGGCTTGCCATTGAATAGAATGCCTAGTGCAAGGGCACTTTAATATTGGAGTCAGTTTGCAGGGGGTGGGGAGGGAAAGGAGGGATTGCGGATTTCAAAGCTGTTAGATACTACCCTGTTTCCCCTAAAATAACGCAGTGTCTATATTAATTTTTGCTCCCAAAGATGCGCTAGATCTTATTTTCCATGCGTTAGGTCTTATTTTTGGAGGATGTCTTATTTTCGGGGAAACACGAAAATAAGACATCCTTCGAAAGTAAGACCTACTTACAGGTTTCCTTCTGAGTGAAATATAAGGCATCCCCTGAAAATAAGGCCCCCCCTAGGCTAAACATGAGAGATTTGGTCCACTGATTCTGAAAGAAATGGTGTCACAAGAAATTCACCAGGAAATTCAGGAATTGGATTGTTATGATGATGTTCCAGAAGATGATGACATGGTTATCATTGAATAAATGAGTAAATTCTTGATACTGTAGGATTCACAGTTTGTCTGGTTTGTGTTGACAACTACTATACTATCATACAGTATACAGGAAATAAATTTCCTTTATTTTCATTTAACAATAAATGTGTACCGTATTCTTCATGGAAAAATAAGACATCTTCTGAAAATAAGACCTAGCACATCTTTGGGAGCAAAAATTAATATAAGACACTGTCTTATTTTCGGGGAAACAGGGTAGTAACAGGTAATTGGGTCAGAGAAATGACAGTTCTAGGAAAAGAAAGGATGGCAATTCAGTTACCATAGAAGGATATCATTTATATTTCTTTTGATAGTGTCAACTTTACTAAATCTTACCTGCTCTCCCATTTAATAGCCCAAGTCTTCAACTGGAGACTAGTTTTTAAAAAATATCTATTTTATTGATTTAAAAAAATATTTTATTGATTTTTCACAGGGAGGAAGGGAGAGGGATAGAGAGCTAGAAACAGCAATGAGAGAGAAACATCGACCAGCTGCCTCTTGCACACTCCCCACTGGGTATGTGCCCCTGATGGGAAGCCAAACTGGTTAGGGCTGGAGACTAGTTTTAAGGGGAAATATGTATTTAAAGTTTATCCTTTGTTTTGATTGTTGGGAAGGGAAACCATGAACATATTTATGATGTTTCTCACTTCCCTGTGGTTGTGTTTCCTGTTGGAAGAGAAGGGAGAAGGTCAGTTGGCTGAGAAAGGGAATTGTGGGTGATTATGTTGATTGGTAGTACTGCATGCTGGAGCTTTGAGTACGCAGGCCAAGGAATTTGAATTTTATCTTGTAGTTAACAGGAAAGCATCTGAGGATTTTGTTTAAATTTGAGTAAGGGAGAGACTTAAAATTTGTGTTAGCATGTAGGATGAATTGGAGGGAAAAGTTCTTTAGTCTGGTTCCCTGATTTCTATTAAGCATTCTGTTCTCTTCCATTCCTTCTGTCTGCATTTATTTTGCATGTGATCTTTGGAAATTATTCAGTACATTTTAGACCAATATAGAATGCTACTCTACCACACTTTTAAAAAGACTAGTGTTATTTGGGCCTGATGAAAATTGTCTGATTCTCCTAGTCCTTCATGCCTTGGAGACTTACTCATTGTTTTAAGAAAGAGCAAGAAATTTTCAAGAAAATTGCCATTGAGAAATTTCTGGGTTTTTGTGTGTGTGTGTGTGTGTGTGTGTGTGTGTGTGTGGAGGGATCAACAGTGTACAGTAAAGTAGGCTTTACAAGGACCTCAGAGGTAGAATATTTTTTTATTTACTAGAGATTTCAATCATCCTCAGCAGTTAACTTTTTATATTGTGGTTAGATATCTCTAGAGGAGGATATCTGTTCCTTTCCCAGACTAACATTCCAGTGTTAGATAGCCCTTCTAGTTTCCTTTTTTACCTCAAATCCCTCTTTCTGCTAATTTAAAGTGCTATGTAGGAGGGATAAGTAGAAAACAAAGTCTTAAAATTAGTCTTTGATCTTGAAATAATTAAAAATATATTTATTTCATAGAGGAGGGAAAGGGAGAGGGAGAGATAGAAACTCAATGATGAGAGAAAATCATTGATCGGCTGCCTTCTGTGTTTTGAGCCTGCAACCTGGTCATGTGCTCTGACCAGGAATCAAATTGTGACCTCCTGGTTCATAGGTTCACACTCAACCACTGAGCCAGTTGGGCTTGAAATAATTTTAAAAGTCATTTCACAACTCTGGTCTATTATGTTCTCTAATCTATATTAAACTAAATTTGGATTAAAAAAATAGTTTTGTTTCCCCTAGTTTACAGATACAAAAGCAGTTTGATTTGAAAGACAAGGAAGCCTAATCCAGAATGTTTTCTGAGAATGGTTGGCCTGTGTGGGCCGGGGATCAGCATTTTGGAGGGAATTATCCATCAGCTTTATGGACCTTTATATTATCTCTCATAACTGCTATCCAAGAGATTGGAAGTTTGCCAGCCTTGTGCCTGAGAGTCCTCTAAATCTCTCATATCCATTGCTTCCCTCCCTCCCTTCCTCCTTTTTCTTTATTGATTAAGGTATTAAATATGTGTCCTTATCCCCCCATTGGCCCTTCCCCCACACACATACTCATGCCTCACCCCTCTGGTGTCTGTGTCCATTGGTTAGGCTTATATGTATGCATTCAAATCCTTTGGTTGATCTCCCCTTCCCCTCCCCTCCCCTACCTTTCCTCTGAGGTTTGATGGTCTGATCGATGCTTCTCTCTTCCTTTTTTGGGGGGGGTAGAGGGGGTTAATCCTACCTGAGGATATTTTTCCATTGATTTTTAAAGAGAGGGAGAGACTGAAAGAAACATCAATATGAGAGAGACACAGTGATTGGCTGCCTCCTGCATGCACCCAACAGAGGCCGGGGAAATCTGCAACCAAGATCCATGCCTTGACTGGAATGGGAGCAAATCTGGGACCCTTCAGTGCTCAGGCCGATGCTCTCCACTGAGCCAAACTGGCGAGGGCTTCTTTTATTTAAAAAATTTTTATTGTTGAAAGTATTACGTATGTCCACTTTTTTCTCCTGTTGACCCTCTCCAGCCCGCCCTGCCCCCTGCCCCAGACCTTCACCACCCTATTGTCTGTGTCCATGGGTTATGCACATACCGGTATGCATTGCTACCTCTTTATCCTCAGTTGACTCAGGCTCTTATTTATACTGCTCTAAGCTTCCTTACTAATAATCTCCCATCCTCCAGTACCTCTCCCTCCAGTCCATCCTCCATTATGTTTGCAAGCTTGTTTTGACTTGCAGGTCTGATTGTGCTGCTTCCTACCTAAAATGTGTCTCTGGTTCCCAAGGAAAAATTACAATTTTTTCCCATGGTATATAGGCTCCCATGGTATATAGGCTCTTTCATGAATTGGTCCTGTTCATATATCCACTTTTATCTCTTGCTTTTACTCCCTATACTTTATCCTCCTGCATTATCGAGTTAGTTGTTATTCCCTGAACATCTCAAACTATTTTTTCTTTGTCTAGAAAATTCCTTTACTTCTTAAACATCTCAGCTCAAGACCTGCTTCCCTTTGGAGCCTTTCTCTGACTCTCACAGCATAGGTCTTTTCTCCTATATTCCTATTTCACTGTGTGTTTGTGTGTGTGTGTGTGTGTGTGTGTGTGTGTGTGTGTGTGTAAGAGAGAGAGAGAGAGATATTGAGATATGGCACTGATACTGTACTGTATTTGTTTACATGTCTTGTCTTCTCCCTGGAAGGTAAGGCCCTTGAAGGTAGGAACTGTCATCTCTGCATGCTCAGTGCTTAACATTGTATAAGTTATATTGTGAGCATGCCCATAATAATTTAAGGAATACTGAGCAATTTATGTGCCAGGTTCTCTGCAAAGGAACTGAGGACTCAACTGCAAAACACAACTGGTCTATTCTCCAGTTTATAATCTAGTGGAAGGTGCAGACAAGTAAGTATGGATATAATGCTGTGATGAAGTATTGGTGAGTACAGGAACACAAATGGGCACTCAGCCCTGCTCTCTGGTCTTATAACACTTCCCTGGTATGTTTGCTTTTCTAAACTGCTTTATAACTTTTTTCTCCACTCTTTCTATATTTCCTCTTTTTCTGTATTCTCAGTTTATGATCTTGCTTTTTTTCACTAAAAAAGTAGACAGGAATCCTTTCATCTTCCCGCCAAGGAAACAGGAGCCCACCTGCACTTGTATTCCTGCTCTTTGGCTTACTTCCTGTCATTGTGGATAATGTGTCCCTTTCCTATCAAAGGCCAATTCTTTCACTTGTGTGGAGGATCCAGTCCTCTTGTTCACTCAGGGACTCAGCTTCTACAGTCTTCCTTTTATTCAATATTATTAATTTCTCTCTCTACTTTATCCTTTCATCATACAAACATGCTCTAGTATTGTTCAATTAAAATTTTTGTATTTGATTCCAGATACCCCTCCTGGTATCATTCTATTTTTTTTTTTTTTTCTTCTTCTCCATCATCACAGAATTCTTAGAAAAAAATAGTTTAGTTCCTGTTTGTTCATTTTTCATTCATTCCTTAACCTATTCTTGGTGGTGGTCTTTTTCCACCACTAAGTGAAACTACTCTTGCCAGATCTAATGGCATTCTACCTCACCTTACCTGAATGCTCAGCAACATTTAGCATTTAATGTAGTTGGCTGCTTTTTTCTGTGTGGAGTACTTCTCGAAACTTTTACTATACTACACTTACCTTGTTCCTCATCTCATTTGTTTTTTCCTTCTTTCTGTTTGTGCTAGGTTCTTCTCTTTTGGAGGGGATGGTTCTTGATACCTTCTCTATATTTTGTTTTATAAGTAAATTTAAATAATGTCTATATAACTACAGCTACTACATTTATATTTTTAATTCTGACCTGTTCCCTGAATTCCAGATTAGTAAATCCAGTTGCCCACTTGACATCTTCACCCTCTCCTCCCTCCCCCCTCCCCCCTCCCCCCTCCCCCCTCTTTGTCCTCCCCATTTTAAAAGTAGAAATGTGGAATGGAATACTTCTTTTTCATGTGATATCTTAGATATCTTTACTGTCAATCTATAGAGATTTAAATCTTTCAAATGATTGCATGAGATTTCACTGCATGTATACAAGTATAGTATAATTTATTTAAATCGCTTTATGACATTTTAGCTTTTTCTTTCAGTGTTACTAATTTCTGTTAGAATGTGATTGTTCTATAAAAGAAATTCCTTAGTCAAAAGGTACAAACATTTTAAATATTAATGTATTGCCAGTTCTCTGAAATGCATGGACCAATCTGTACTCCACAGATTTTAATTGGTTGCCCTTGCTTTAGACACTGTCCTTCATATTTTGAAGGGTCCAGGTACTTGAAAAGGTCAGTGGTGCTTCTGTAGTGTTTACATGTTTTAGAATAATGAAAATTGTTGCCGAGGTGATAGATTATGGAGAAGTAGACTGGTAGTTTTCTAACCTTTGGATTAGATTTTAGTTCAATTCCTTTTCTTGGTTAGTAATGGGATGTACGTTAGCCTGAAGCAAATTTGGGTTTTCTTAAGCAGTGTAATCATTTATCACAGGCATAAAGATATTTTTGGAATGTGTATTCCTGGAGGTCCCTTTTCATGTCAAATGGTGACTGTGGCTAATGTATCAGGTTGGAATTTTCAAGTGTGTAGAATGTATCAGGTTGGAATCTTCAAGTGTGTAGAATATGGCTATGGAGAGTTCTCTGTCAAGTTAATGTAGCTTAGGTCGTTTGCCTTTTTTGAGATTAAAGATTTTCTACAATTATGAGGTCCTCACAGATAAGCATTTTATGTTTATAATTTCTGCTATCCATATTCACTATTTGTTAAAATAACTTATAGTTTTATAACTTTTTGTCATTCTACTCAGCCCTGTTGTTATTGCCCTCAACTACTTTCCAATCTAGGTTATAATTATAAACTTAATCAGAAGATAAGAGAGTTTAAAGATATTTTGGTTATACATATATTATTTTTTTCTGAGTAAGCCTTTGTTTTTAGCTTAACTCTGTGAGGTTATATTTTTTTCCTTTCACAAATAAGTGCATAACACTTAAGTATACAACTTGATGAGTTTTTAAAATTTAATTTTAATTTTATTTTCCCCAACATTTATCCCCACTATGCCCTCTTCCATCTTCCTCCCTCTGCAATCACCACACTGTTGTACATGTCCATGAGTTTTCTTTTTTCTCAGTACCCAACAACTCCCACCCCTACCACATCTGTCTGTCCTGAGGAGTTTTTAAATTTCTCTATCGAGCCACCACCCAGATCAAGCTATAAACATTACCAGTACTCTAGAGATCTCTACGTTGTATCTTATTAGTCATCCCTACAATGAAATAGAAAAACCACTAATCCTGGCTTTTACCATAAGTTGATTTTGCCTTATTTAAGCTTTACATAAGTGAAATCATACAGCATGTATTTTTTTGTGCCTGGATTGTGTTGCTCAACCTTATATTTGTGGAATTTATCCATGTTGTGAAGAGTTTAATTTCGTTTTTTGATGATTCTCCCTCCCTCCAGTTTTATGACATATATCACTGTGTAAATTTAAAATATACACCATGATGGTTTTATTTACATATACTGAAATGATTACATAAAAGATTCAATTAACATTTATCTTTTCAAGTAGATACAATAAAAAGGAAAAAAAGGAAAAAATTTTCTTCTGTGATTAGAACTCACTTAACATCTGTCCTATATTTCATGTAACAGTGTTAGCTATAATCATCATGCTGCACATTACATTCCTAGTACTTACTTTATAACTGGACTAGAGGCCTGATGCTCAGATTCATACACCAGTGGGATCTCTCAGCTTGGCCTGTGGGATCTAGCCGAAACCGGCTCTCCAGCATCCCCCGAGGGGTCTCGGATTGCAAAAAGATGTAGGCCAGACCGAGAGACCCCACCGGTGCACGATTGGGGCCGGGGAGGGATGCGGGAGGTTGGCCAGCTAGAGGGGGACCATGGGAGGGCTCTAGGGCGTGTCTGGTCTGACTCCTCAGTCCCTGTTCAGCTGGACCTCAGCAGCAAGCTAATCTCCTGGTTGGAGTGTTTGCCCCCTAGAGGTCAGTGCACATCATAGCAATTGGTCGACTGACTGGTTGACTGCCCCCTGGTGGTCAGTGCACATCATAGGGAGCGGTTAAGTGGCTTTAGCATATCATGAGCATATTATGCTTTGATTGGTTGAACAGATGACCAGACACTTAGCATATTAGGTTTTTATTATATAGGAAATTTGTATCTTTTTACCACTTTCTTCCATTCTCCTCCCTCTTCTTTCTTCATATATAGTGTTCTATTGTATGTATATGTTATATAATAACTTATCCATCTTACTGTTGATAGACATTTAAACTGTTTCTAGTTTGGGGTTGTCATGGTTATCATTCCTGTTAGGATGAAATTGTTGAGTCATTGGGTATGTATGTGTTCATTAGCAGTCATTAGTTTTATACCTTTAGATAATAAGTTTTGTGTTTTGTTTCTTGTCTAGTTTGTCTGAGAATACAGATCAACCCACAGAACAAAGCAGATTTCCAAGGCATCTCCCCAGAACGAGCCTTTGCTGATTTTCTCTTCGCCAGCACCATCCTGCACCTTGTTGTCATGAACTTCGTTGGATGAATCATTTCTCTTTGCTTAATTGAGGAGTGGGAGACTAGAAGAAGGTAAGTGGTAATGATAGCCTTTGTCCCATCATGTTGATTTTAGAACTGGAAATTGGTTTTGATCGTGGCTGGAAAGGTTCCCACATTGCTTATAAGACTAAAAATTCTGTTTTGCAGAATTTTTTTTATCAGTCTGCAAAGTATGCATTAATTTCATCCTGCCGCTCTTGGTCATTGCCTTCTCACTGTTTTGCAAATTGTTAAGATAACAAAATGGGAGCTTGCCTGTAGCTAATACATAAATTTCTGCACCAATAACTCCCATGAAAATAACTCTGAGATCTTAGAAGAGACAAAAATTATAGACTTTGCTTTTAGATTTGCTCTGTAATTTATTTCTGATTTTGATCTTAGATGATTTTAAATGTTGGGCCATTGTTCCCATAGTACTTAGTATAATGTTTACACCTGACAGACATCCAGTATATGCTGAATGAGACAGTGGCCATTTGTTAAAATCTGTGCTAAAGAAGAAATAAAAGGAGAAATTGGGTTTGGGAGAATACTTTAGAACAGGGTTGCCACCAGTGGCCTGTGAGGTCCAAAAGGTTGGTGACCACTGCTTTAGAATATAGGATGATATACTATTTGTTTTATTTGACATTTTCCCTTTTTTAGCATTAGAGCTCTTTTTTTCCTAAACAAACTCTTATTTAGGTTCTCCATATATAAAACAGCATTGTAGCTAGAGTTGTTTTCATTAACAAGTTGAAAAGCCCTCTTTGCTTTATGTTTGCTATGCCCACCTTTCCACACTTCCCTTCTAAGCAGAATCCAAAAGCTCTAAGAGATAATGGGTATTTTCAAACACTATATAGGAACACTTATTTTATATGTAAGGGAACAGAAGTCCAGAATAATCCAGTGACCTTCCCTGGCCACATAGCTAAGTGATTGCCGAATAGTGTCTTAGACCATTGATGCTGTTGGTCTTGTGTTCTAGTATCCTATGTAGCTACTAATGAATGAATGCACTATTTTTTTTATTTTTATTGATTTCATAAAGGAAGGGAGAAGGAGATACATCAGTGATGAGAGAGAATCATTGATTGGCTGCCTCCTGCATATGCCCTACTAAGTGAGGATCAAGCCTGCAACCTGGACATGTGCCCTTGATCAGAATCGAACCCAGGACCTTTCAGTCTGCAGGCCAATGTTCTATCTACTGAGCTTAACTGGCTAGGGCTTCTTTGCCTTTTAACTATAAAATTTAGTGTTGTATTTTTACTGGGTGGTAGAGAAAAGAAAACCCTAGGAAATGTTATCTGGGGAAAGACTATTCGGGACCAACTTCTTTCTATCATTACTTAGAAAATTGTCATTTTTGGCCGAAACCGGTTTAGCTCAATGGATAGAGCATCGGCTTGGGGACTGAAGGGACCCGGATTTGATTCCGGTCAAGGGCATGTACCTTGGTTGCGGGCATATCCCTGGTAGGGGGTGTGCAAGAGGCAACTGATCGATGACTCTCTCTCATCGATGTTTCTAACTCTCTATCTCTCTCCCTTCCTCTCTGTACAAAATCAATAAAAAATATATTAAAAAAAGAAAAGAAAAAGAAAATTGTCATTTTTGTACTGATCAGAAGTCTAACACGAGAGTTAGAGCAACCATGTACTAAGTGAATGCAGTAATGGGACAATGACTATTCAATTTCTGGTATGAATTAATTAGTTACTTACATTACATAGATCCTTTTCATTATTGATGAAAAACAGTTCTGTTAGTTAAGTAAGGTTTCATTTACTTTTCAAAGATTCTTTATTGATTTTTTAGAGAGAGAAGAAGGGAGAGGGAGATAGAGAGAAATATCAATGTGGTAGTGAAACATCAGTTGGCTACCTCCTATACACCCTATGGAGCATGTGCCCTGACCTGGAATTGGAAACTTCAGTGCATGGGACGACACCCACCCAGCTGAGCAACACTGCCCAGGGCTAAGGTTTCATTTTTGATAAGTTGACAGAGGTTGTTTATTTCAGTGAAAAAGTTTGGAACCACTTCTTTCTGCTACTCTAATACAATTTGACTCTTTGGAGAATTGATCAGGCCTTCAGCTGTCCTGCCTCCTTCCCCCTTTTCTATATGCTAGTCAATGGCTTGTTACTGGAAGCACACAAAAAAGTAACATATGGCTGCTACCTTATAGGAGGGGAGAAGGCATGAAAACACAGCAGATAAATACAGCATAGTTCAAGCCACACTAAAGATGTGGACAATGGGCTGCGTGAGTCTAGAGAAGGGAGCCATTGTGCAGCAGACAAGATGTCTGACCAATGATAACTCTGAGTACAGCTAGAAAGCTGACCCACCAACATGGACCTAATGCCTGCAGATATGAGTAACTCTTGGGCTTCCTGATAGAAACTTTGCTGGAAAGGTGGTAAGTCTTTTGATTGCCTTACTCTAAATTTCTAAAGTTATTTTTTCTAAATGAGTCATGCACAAACATTTCAAGGATGTTCTCTGGGCTTAGGGAGATACCAAATCATGGAGAATAATTTCCTAGGGCTGTCATCATCGGAGGAGGACCCTGTTGCAGAGAGCTTAGTATATCAAAATTATGACAAAAACAGATGAAAAAAAGCAGGCTCAGCAGAAACTGCATACTGCAGACTATTATAACAGCCTAGACCACCTGTTCAGTTGGGAATTATGGTCCCGAGGTGCAGCAAAATCTTCCAATCCCAGATTGCAGCGTTAAATCATTTCATAGAATATGTTCTTCTTGGGGAACTGCCCAGGGATTTTTCATAGAGATCCTTTATTTGACATATATTTTACTGTACTGTTAATTTGGAACATACATCGCTTGCCCTTTTTATGTGCTGCTAACACAGTTCTATGTGCAATGTGACAACACTTAGAAAATAGTTTTCCAAGTGAGTTCTCAATATTTATACCAACTCATAAGGTAGAACGAAACAGATTGAACATTCTTGATACTTGCCATGTACATTGAGAGTTGGGTATAAAAAGAGTAAACATCTGTAGTGTACTGCTTTTGCATGAATTTGGAGGTGCCATTTATTTATTTATTTATCCTCACCCAAGGATATTTTTTCTATTGATCTTTAGAGAGAGCATGGTAAGAAGGGAGAAGGAGAAGAGAGAGACAAGAGAGATAGATAGAAAGAGAGAAAGAGAGAAAGAGAGATAGAAACATAGATGTGAGAGACACATTGGTTGCCTTCTACTAGTACTTGCTCCCTGACAGGGGTCCAGGGATCTTACCTGCAACTGAGGTATGTGTCCTTGACTGGGAATTGAACCTGTGACCATTCGGTCCCTGGGTCAGCACTTACCACTGAGCCAAACCAGCCAGGGCTTGGGAGTAACATTTAAAACAAGCAGCCAGCCAAAACCAGTTTGGCTCAGTGGATAGAGCGTCAGCCTGAGGACCGAAAGGTCCCGGGTTTGGTTCCGGTCAAGGGCATGTACCTTGGTTGCGGGCACATCCCCAGTTGGGGGTGTGCAAGAGGCAGCTGATCGATGATTCTCTCTCATCGATATTTCAAACTCTCTATCTCTCTCTCTTCCTCTCTGTAAAAAATCAATAAAATATATTTAAAAAAATATCTGGTAAGTACCATTAACATTTCTCTTAAAAAAAATAAAAAAATAAAACAAGCAGCCATGCTGAAAAAGGCAAATAAATGGATATGGTATTGAGTTAAAAAAAATTTATTCCAAGAGAAGTAAGGAAGTTAACATTAACAGCTAGTGAGAGCTCACTGAAGGCCAATCGTTAAGTGCTTCTCATTCTGTCTTATTTTCAAAATTACCTCATAAAGATAGGCTTGCTCATTCCATTTATAGATGAAAAGCAGGTTTGGAAAGGCTTGCTGGAAATCTTGTAACTATTAAGTCTGATAATCCAGTCTGACTTCAAAAAAGTTTTATATTCCATTTTGCTTAAGTTTGTTTACTATAAGGTATTTGACAATTGAAATGTTAAAGAAATGTGTTTAAAAAGTTATCACAGGTATTTTCTCACTATCCTTCCCCTCAAGCTTTTCTTTCTTTGTTTTTATTATGACAGTTTAAAAATACCAAAAAGTACTGAGAATAAAACAGCCACTCAGGCAACTATCACCTAGATTTAGTGGATTTTAAACAGATTATAAACATTGTGGATTCAGCTAAGTTCCCTTTGAATTCCTCTCTAGTACCAACCATTTCCTTCCCTCAGCTGTAAGACTAGAAGTTCATGGCAGTTTTTTCAGCCAGAACTCATATCCCTAGACCTATCAAACACAACCTTTTCCAAACTTTAGTCTTTTTTTTTTTTTTTTTTTTTATTTTTATTGATTTCAGAGAGGAAGGAAGAGGGAGAGAGAGAAACATCAGTGATGAAAGAGAATTATTAATTGACTACCTCTTGCACACCCACGCAGGGGTGGGAGCCCAAAATGGAGCATGTGCTCTTGACTAGGATGGAACTGGGGACCCTTCAGTTCTCAGGCCGAAGCTCTGTCCACTGAGCCAAATCGGCGAGGACCAAACTTTAGACTTTGTTATCTCTTGAAAGCATGTCCAAAGATGGTATTTTGAGAATGCTGTGGTAAAAGCTACTCAGTTGGCAGCAGTGCCTAAAGATGGCTATTCCAATGGTCAAGAATAGATGAAATATTTTTTAGATTATCATATAAATGTAAATGCAAAGTGAAAAATGCTCCTAGTAAGCTTCTGAGTTGGGTGAATTCATACACGTATAAAATATGATCAGTGATGTTCAGGTATTTAATGGCGATAAATCTTTTTTGAATGAATGCATAATACAGAAGCTCAGTAGATTTAAAAATTTTTTTTTTAATATATATATATTTTTACTGATTTTTTACAGAGAGGAAGAGAGAGGGATAGAGAGTTAGAAACATTGATGAGAGAGAATCATCTATCAGCTGCCTCTTGCACACCCCCTACTGGGGATGTTCCCGCAACCAAGGTACATGCCCTTGACCGGAATCGAACTTGGGACCTTCCAGTCCGCAGGCCGACGCTCTATCCATTGAGCCAAACCGGTTTCGGCAGCTCAGTAGATTTGAATATTTAAAAATTTATACACTTTCTATAATTATTTTGTTTTGTTTGTTCATATCTCTTTGTGCAATTCTTAAAAAACAAAAACAAAAAAAACTATGGCAGAGTATCTCAGTGTCTCGAAGGAAAATGAAGAAAAGAGGGACATAGCTACTATTAGGTCATAGTTTGGGAGGAAAGTTCCTGGGCTTGGGCCCTGTGTCAGAGGGTAAAGTGAAATGGGCACAGAGTGTAATACCTGAGCTTGGAAGTGTGCTCAGCCTGGTGGAGACTGGCTAATGCTTGTGTTGAAACCTTGTTAGTGTTGCTTTTTTATAATGGAGGCCATTCTATCACAGGTCTCTCAAAATTTATAGTGTTTAATCCTGGATGGAGCAAGGGGGCTATAAGGAATGGGCAGAACATAATTTTGACAAGCAGTACTGTTTACAAATATGCAGTTACTGCTGGCTTTTCAAATTCATCAGTGAAGAATATTAATCTAGAATATGATTTAAGGATAGAAATGTAATATTATTCTTTAGGTTCTACTGCCACCTAGTGGATAATACATTTCATCTGCTAAGAGATTGTTCTGCAAAGCATAAGAGAAGTTAAGTTTGGGGGAAGAAGCTCCTGGTATCTTTGTGATAAAACCTATATTTTGCAGTCACAGGAGGGCAGCAGAGGTCCAAATGGGCCTAGATGCTGGGTGGGGGTTGCTTTACATTCTGGCCAGAAGTGGGCAGTGTGGAGTTAGGCATGAAGGCCATGGAAGGATCCTGTGCAGGGTTTATTTCCTTTTCTTGTCATTTCAAGAGCTCCCTTTTTGGTTTGTTCTAGACCCGTTTTTGCTCTCAACAAGATCTCTCACTGGCAATAATCTTTAATTTTTGTTGGGAGGGTCTTTTTTTTTTTTTAATTACTTTTAATGATTTCATAGAGTAAGAGAGAGATAGAAACATCAATGATGTGAGTCCTTGATCAGCTGCTTCCTACATGTCCCCTTCTTGGGATCGAGCCCACAAAAGTATGTGCCCTTGACTGGTATCAAACCCAGGACTCTTCAATCCACAGGCTGCCGCTCTATCCACTAAGCCAAACCGGCTAGGGCAGGGAGGGGCTGTGTTTTAAATTTCATTTATTCTTTGATAATTCACTTAGTAGTGAATTAGGCTCAGCCACCAAAAAGGAACTAAATTTATAGAACACATTTTGAGCTAAACACAGCATAATATTCTTCAGCCCCCTTTTTCTTCAGAGGGCGAGATTAATTCTTTATTATTCTTAAAACCTTGAATCTGCTAGTTGTATTTAGTATAAAACACTAATTGCTGACTCTCTGATTGGGGATTGAGCTCTCTTGTATTTGGTCCATTTAAAGTGAGTGAGAGAGAGAGAGAGAGAGAGAGAGAGAGAGAGAGAGAGAGAGAGAGAGAGAGAGAGAGGGAGAGAGGGAGAGGGAGAGAGAAAGGGAAATAGAGAGAGGAGGAAAATGGAGCAGATTTGTGAAGTTCATTGTTGTCCCAATTCCCTGGCTTATTTGCTCCATTTTTGTAGCTTGATGATTCCTACTCCAAGTCATCTTTGGTCTGAGGTTGCATAGGAGCCTCTTCTGGGGCTCTTGGGGTCCACTGTTCATGCCTCTAGTGCTGTACTTATCACACTGCTATGGATTCACTACCCTGTCTCCCACTGAGGGTTGGGACCTCTGGTTAGCACAGGCTAACAGTAACAATGTATGTATGAATGAGTGTATGATGACTAAGTCATCTTTAATGGCAAGAAAATGCTATATAAAATAGTTGTATCACTAGTCATGCGGATGCTAAGACATGTGGAAAGTTCTGTGGGAGAAAGAAGCCAAGGCAAAAATAAACGTATGACTAGAAGGGGGAAGGCTTGCATTGTGGACTGAGAAGTAAACTGGTCCCTCACTCCCAGTTTCCCTGTCAGCACAGTGAGGTGATTGGACTGGATGTTCATCATTTTCTTGCAGCTGTTCGAGCCTTTGATTACTAGAATTCATGAGTTCCCATTGTGTTTGAGGAGGATTGGCTGTTTGTATGGATCCTCAAGTGGGCTTTTTTCTTTTTTCTTTCCCTTCAATTGCTGGCTTTTATTCATATTATCAGATTTCTATAATCTATTATAGGAAAGTTAAAGTGTGACTGTCTGTATCAAAATGCATGATGTTTATATTTTTTTTTATTTTTTTAAAATTTATTTTATTGATTTTGTACAGAGAGGAAGGGAGAGAGATAGTTAGAAACATCGATGAGAGAGAGTCATCGATCAGCTGCCTCTTGCACACCCCCTACTGGGGATGTGCCCGCAACCAAGGTACATGCCCTTGACCAGAATCGAACCCTGGACCTTTCAGTCCCCAAGCCGACGCTCTATCCATTGAGCCAAACTGGTTTTGGCTATATAAGGCCTTTTATAAAATTAAAAAATATTTATAAAATGTATTACAGTTATCACCAGGCTTGCAGGACTCATATCCACTCCTCAAACACTTTCACACACCTCACAGCCCATTCTCTGATGGAGATAGACAAATAGTAGTCTTCCTCTTTACACATGAGGTAATCAAACTGTTGTGAAATTTAAGTTGACTTGTCTAGGCCCTGGAAGTAATAATTGTCTGGGAACTTAACAGACATTGTGACTCAAAAATTTTATTTTCCTTCTTTTTTATGTTCAAAGACTTTTCGATGATAAATATATACTGAGTGGCCAGATTATTATGATCTCTGAATGCATAATAATCTGACCACTCAATACACACACACACACACATACACACACACACACACACACACACATTAGAGGCCTGGTGCATGAATTTGTGCATGGGTGGGGTCTAGCCAGCCTGGCCAGGGGGAGGGGACATGGGCGGTTGGCCAGTCTGTCTGCTGGTCGAACGCCTGGTCAAGGGGACAGTTTGCATATTAGCTGTTTATTATATAGGATATACACTGAATGGCTAGATTATTATGCATTCAGAGATCATAATATGGCCACTCAGTGTATATATCTTGTTAGAAGGTTTTTGTGAAAAATGTTAAATTTGCTTTTTTTTTTTTAATGAAAAAAAAAAATGGAGAGGTTGATAAGAAAGGATGAAGTCAGGCTATCTAAAATGTTTATGTGAAGTTGGTCATCTTTAATAAGATCCAGAGGAAATGCAAGAGAACTGACTTTATCCCAAGAGGGTGACCCTGGACCCTCTGCAGTGGAAATGTTCTGAGTCTGCACCACCTGGTGTGATGGCCACCAGCCACAGAGGTTATTGAATGTTTGAAATGAAGCCAGGTAGCTGAGGAATCGAATTTTGAATTCTATGTAATTTTAACTAAGTTTAAATAGTCACCTCTGGTGAGTGGCCATGATGTGGACAGTCACTCTGGACAGATTTGTCCAGCTCCCAGGTTGCAGTTTCCTTATCTATAAAATGAGAGGATTAGATTAGCTGATCTCTAATGCTCCTTGCAGTTTTAGAAATATACAGTCTGTGCCTTTTGAAATTGTAGTGATTGAAATTGAGCTTTGAACCTAGAATTTCTGCAGAATGGTCTTTGATTCACATTTTATCTATTTTCAGTTTTAATTGGGTGACCAGGATCCAGGATGAGATTGGATTTGAAGGAAAAATCAGTATTTGAGCATATCTGCTCAGAGCTAGTGTCTGAATAACGGTGTTGGAGAGGAATACAGATTCCAAATAGAAATGACCCTGTCTGGCATTATCTTTTGTATCTATACAGAGAGTCATTATTTTTAACAGTTCTTTGTGTTGTGCCTTGCTTTCTTTTAAGATGATTATAATAGACTGATCAAGTGGTGCTGTCTTTTCTGCATGAGTGAAATAGACTGAAGAAGTCATGCTCACTTTTCTCAGTAGCTGTCTTTCATTTTGCATTCTTGATATCAGAGGAGGAAATTTTATTGGTTTCTTGAAACTTTTGTTTCTGGGTTAGAAGTGGAAACCATTATTCTGAGCTGTTGAGTAGTCCAATTTTACTGAGCTAACATTTCAAAGAAGCCTAGAATTTCTGCTTTTAGAATACTGTCTGGTAAATACATTTTTGTCTTAAAAGAAGAGAGCATATCTTTGTAAATAGAATTTTCTGAAAACTATTATCAAAGAGACTTATTGTTATGAGTCATTTTTGCCTTTTGGATAGACCAGCTCCAGTGTTTCAGATTTAAATATTTTAATATCAGAGCATCTCAAAACAACTTCTATACTAAACTAGGATTTCTTTTATAATTGTAAAAGTGTCAAAGTTCTTCACTGAAGTAACCTTATGTTCTATCTAGTTCTCTCTCATGTCAGCCATTCAAACTGATATATTCATAGTTTGTTGCTTTTAAGAAACTTCATGGAGTGAAAGGTGAGTTTTAATAGGTCTCTCTGTTCTTGTTTGGCATTGTGGATACTTTTTATTGTTTTTGTTCTTTCTTTACACATTTCACAATTCCAGTGATGTAGGAATGTTCTGCACTTATGTAGCATTTCTCTAAATGCCATTGTTAGTGAAATAAAAGCACTCTGGCTAAAAGTCTAAGATCTTTTTTTTTTTTTTTTTTTTTTTTTTTTTTTTTTTTTTTAAAGCTATGATGCTGGAATCTTCAGATCAGAACCAACACACAAAATAAGGTGGTGCCTTTTTACCTACTGGGGAGTAGCCCAGCACTTCTGCAGTGTTTCCCAATCTTTTTCAAAGTCATGACACACATATAAGATTACAATATTTTGTCCAGTGGTGTGGCTAGGTGATTGAGTGTTAACCTGTGAATCACGGTTCGATTTCCGGTCAGGTTACATTCACCTGGTTGCAGGCTTGACTGCCAGTGTTGGGCATGTAGAAGGCAGCTGATCAGTGATTCTCATCATTGATGTTTCTATCTCTCCCTCCCTCTCCCTTCCTCTCTGAAATCAATAAAACTACATTAAAAAAAGATATTACAGTATTTTTATGGCTCACTGCAAGAAAGTTGGCTGCTTATGGCTAGAGATTTTGAAGTCCGTAGAGCAAAGGGGTTACTTTCTTAAAACATTTTTTAAATTGATTTCAGAGAGGAAGGGGGAGGGAAAGATAGAAACATCAATGATTTGAGAGAATCATTGATTGGCTACCTCCTGCATGCCTCCTGGGGATTGAGCCTGCAACCCAGGCCTGTGCCCCGACCAAGAATCAAACCGTGACCACCAGTTCATAGGTCAACACTCAACCACTGAGCCACACCAGACAGGCCAGAGCTGTTACTTTCTGACTACCCTGGAGGCACTAGAAGGAAACCGTTTTTGCCAGGCTGGCCTCCACCTCACAGCTTCCAGATCTCAGTTTCATTTGATTCTAGCAGCAATGTGGACGCTTTTCCGAGTTACTCTCCACATTCCTTCTCTAAATAAACTCATCTGCAAATGAAAAAAATATTTCTTCTGGATTTCCTTTGTTAAATCTGAGATTGAGAATTTTTCTCAACTTTTTTTTTTTTTTTAAATATATATCTTATTGAATTTTTACAGAGAGGAAGAGAGAGGGATAGAGAGTTAGAAACATCGATAAGAGAGAATCATCGATCAGCTGCCTTTTGCACACCCCCTACTGGGGATGTGCCCACAACCAAGGTACATGCCCTTGACCAGAATTGAACCTGGGACCTTTCAGTCTGCAGGCCTATGGTCTATCTACTGAGCCAAACCGGTTTCGGCTCAGCTTCTCTCTTGAGTACTTTCTTCCTTCATTCTCCCCCCCAACTGGAATTTAGTGCTTTATAAGCTTTCTAGATCCAGAGAAGCTCTTTAGGCTAAATTGCTATGTCCTTACCTCTTAGGAGTTGGACCTGAGAGGTTAGAGGGACTTAACGTAAAGGTGTGCAGCTGATTAATCACAGAGCTGGAGTTAGAACCCATGTCTGCCAGTTCCTAGTCAGCTATGCTTGGGGTGCTGGAAATTCAGATTTGAACATTACCTTTTAAGGATTCTTTTATAAAATGTTTGGTGAAAAATATTTGGTTCTATCCTGGCTTAAATATTGCCCAGGATTTGGGGCCCGGTCTGTAGTTTCATAAGACATTTTAAAAAACCTTGGGTGTGTCCTCTTACCTTTCCACTTCTTTCTTTTAGGTTCACTTTTTTATATCCCCTGGAGAAGAGCTCTTGAGATGGCAGCTTGTTGGACACTTGGATGTTCTTCAGGTTTATGCTGACTACTGGCTCAGATTCGGTGTGCTGGTGGAGAGCCAGAGAAGTTCCCTCGTTTCTGTGTCAAAACAACTTTGTACTGAGCATTTATTTACATGACCTCTTCTCCTTTGCGTTGTGTAACCTTTTTGCTTCCAAATTAAACTCCATGCCACTCCTCTCTATGCCTTGGCTCTGTTCTTTTGTTTTTATTATTTATTGGTATCAGAATCCTTTCTTTCCTACAATCTTCTGTGCAAAATTGATAACTTGCAACTGTGAATCTTCCTCCATGTTTTCATTAAGTGTATTTTAAGTTAATGACAAGAAGCAGTGCTGACAACCTTGTGAAAAGACAGTCCTTTGGCTTTTTTCCTGGAGCTGGTAACCCTTTACTAATTTTTCAGTTGTTTAGTTCCCTTCTTATGACACATGCATTCCTGGAACTCTGTGTCATTAAATGCTTTGTTAGACATTAAACTGTTTGCTTCCACATTTACAACGATTTCAATATGCTTTAGTAGGGAAAAGTGAAATATGTACCTCTTAGGCAGTATGAACAGAGTGAAAAGGGGAGTTTTGTTTATATGTTCATTTATACCTTCCAAACCACCACAAATATTCTCACATTTTATTCTTATGATTATCTCAGGGGTTGTAATCCTCATTAGATGGAGAAATGGAAGCTTAGATTTGTAACTTGTGTAAGATCAGAGATGAGGACACAACTTGAGAGAATACTAGGTCTGCTGGCTGAAGCCTAGGCGTGTTTATATGTATCATGCTAGCAGCCTGTTTCCATCTTGGGTGCTATGTAGAGGAAATAAGTTGTGTTGAGAATTCCACTAGATTTAACTTTAGCTCACTATTGAGATGATGAGGTGTGCTGCAAAGGTTCTCCAACTAGACTGCACATTAGAATCCCTTGGGGAACTTAAAAACGAAATCTCAGTGCCCAGGTCACACCCAGACCAAGTAAATAAAAACTTTTGGGGTGGCATCTGTACTTTGCACAGCTTCCCTGGCAATTCTTATGTGCAGCCAAGTCAGAGAAGCACTGATCTGGATTTTTGCTACTCATAATGTCCATTGATCGGCAGTATTGGCATCACCTAGGAGCTTCTTTGAAAAAGAGATTCAAGCCCCACTCCAGACCTTCTGAAGCAGAATCTATTTTAACATGGTCCCCACGTAACTCCTGTGCATATTAAAGTTTGAGAAGCACTGATCTAGAGCAGTGGTTCTCAAATTTTGGTGTATCTCAATTACTTGGGAACTTGATAAAAAGTTTGGGCTTCTATGTTTATTAGCTCTCCATGTAACTGATTACACAACTAAGTTTGAGAACAGCTTTAGATCAGAATTGGCAAAATTTTTTTTGAATTGTACATTTTATTTTTCTGTTACAATAGGCACTTTATTAGTGGTTGGAATGCAGTTACACGCAGGGATGTGTGGACAGAACAGGGAGGGAGGAGGGAGGACTGGCAACAGGCGCAGGACATGGAGACCCCAGGCGGGAATCTCTCCCTCTCTGGGATCTTGGGACTGTGCTGATGAACAAAGACATGAAGTCAGGGGCCTTAGGATATGGTGGGGAGAACACCAGGAGACCAGGTCCTGAGTTCAACCAATTTAGCCAAAGGATCCTCAAAATGAGGTGACTGGTCAGGGAGGTCCGCTGTGCATGCAGCATTTGCCCTGAAATTGTCCCTTGGGTGGATTCAGTTTCTCTTCTCTCTTAGAAAGAGCTGTGTCAATCACTGGCAGAGGGAGGGAAGAAACTCAGTCCAGCTTCGCCAGCCAGCCATCCAGACAGCAGGTTTCCATCAGGCGGCTATTAGGGGTCTCCTTCCTCCTGCTCAAAGCAGCCTCCCAGAATAGTCTCACTCCCTCATCTCCCATCAACAACCAGGGCGCCCTGCTGCCCCCATGCCAGGAGACACCCCTCCTGGGCACGAGTACCACACCCCACTGCAGCCATACCAGATAACAGAAGGCACTCCTCAGTGGCCCCATTTCAGCTGTTGAGACAGAAAAAAAACTAATAGACCTTTAATGCACAGCTAGATTAAGAAAAATAGTAAAGAAACACGTGGCAGCCCCAGTGCCAATTGTTCAGCTCTGGAGAAGGGGCTCGGTCCTGTCTTGAGCAGATCCCATGTGAACGAGGGCCTTCAGGAGCCGGAGCTTACTGTGGCCGTGGTTCCCACAGACACAAACACCATCCCCCGAGAGGAGGGAACAGGAAGCTGGACGCAGCCCACAGAGGTTGGGCCCCATCGAGGGCCAGACACATCAAGAGCCCTCATGGGACTCCTTCCCATCCCGGCCAGTGATGGGACTCCTTCCCATCCCGGCCAGATTGGTTGCACAGTCTTGGGGGGGCGGGGGGCGTCATGAAAAGCCTGACTGTCCCTTGGCATACGAAGGAGATGCCACAAATCTTCTGGGTCTCCAGAAACTGGTGGTAACTGGATGATGGTGGGGTGGCAATGACAGGACTCCTGTCAGCCCAAGGGGCTGGAGGCTGTGACCCAGCTGCCGAGCACCCAGCGTGAGACCTTGTAGGGAGGTGTGGTGGGGGGAAGGTGGGGCCTTTAAGATTTCGCCGGCTTCTTGTTGGTCTTGTTCAAAAGCTTCTTGAGATTGGAAAACATGAAGTAAGGCCTCTCAGCCGAGCCATCATTCCTCTCGAGGTCCTCCACTGCAGAGAGAGACCCCAGAGCAGGTGGCATGAGGGAAGCTCACAGGCAAGGGCCTCTGGGGACAGGGCAGCCAGGGGCCACAGATGCCTCAGAAGGTTAGGAAGCACGACCGGAGAGGGGCAGCTACAGTGGGCTCAGGAATGGGACACAAGCATTCCCCACGCCCAGGCAAGGAAGCCGCACATGCACCCCTGGTCTACAGGGTGGAAACAAGGAGCCTGACCTCCCTCCTTCTCTACTCCTACTCCCGGACTTCTGCCTGCTTCCCCTCCTCCGCACTCCCCTTCAACATGATGTCTCTCAGCTCAGGCGACATGAGATAGGGTCGCTCCTGAGAGCCATCATTCCTTTCCAGGCCCTCACAGAAGCAGAGGAACAATGTGTCCACACACATGCCATAGACGCTGAAGAAGCCGTCGGCAATCAGGTAGGAGCCAATGATCACAGTCAGTATACGGACCCAGCAATAATTTAGGGGCTGTGCAGTGTCTTGTATGATTCTAATACGGTGGGTGAAGAAGAAAGCCAGGATCCCCACACTACCCACAATCAGAAGTTTGCCCAACAAGAAGAGGAAGTCAGTAACTTTGTCCAGGGCAGCCACTCCGATGATGTTTCTCATCAGCAGGAAGAAGGCGTTCTTGGCTTAGCCTTAGATGCAGAAATCGGTACCATAGATGGCGATCATGATGTAGGCATTCCTATTGAGGAATCTGATGAACTTCTCCAGGCACCTGAAGCAGCATTTGAGACAGGTCATGAGGAACTTGACAAACTTGTCGGCAGCTTTCAGGCGCTGATCCAAGTACTCCAGCATCACTCTGATGATCTGCACGATGGCCAGAATGAGGGCACCAAAGGCCAGGGAGCCCGTGTGGTATCTGAGTGCGCGGCTAAAGGAGAAGAGCGGGAAGGCAGGCAGGTCTCTGGCTTGTGCAGGGCCCAGTAGTAGGAGGCAAAGGCCCCAGCGAGCGTGACCTGGCCCAGAGCCAGCACGAAGTTGGGCAGCCAGAAGAACATGAAAGCATTAAAGATCTGTAGGCCCAGCAGGGCCCGGTGGTAAGCTGACTCACCACCATAGAAGGTGAACTGGCAGTGGGCTCCAGGGCATAGGCGGGACTCGTTGGAGGAGGGGAAGGTCTCAGGGATGCAGGTTTTTCCATTAACTGGGCAGGTGTTGGCATCGCCAAAGATTTTATAAATAGCTTCATTGGAAGTGGACAGGAAGAGGGCAGTGCTGGCCCAGTAGGCGATGCAAAGGCACAGCAGGAAGAAGGTGACCAGTGGGTACAGCAGGGAGCACATCACATATCCTACAGCCCTGCTGGCTTCTTTGGTGAGTGCAATGGCGATGAGAATTCTCTTTCGTAGAAAGATGAGCAGCAAGATGATAATAAACTCAAGTATGCTCAGAATTATCCTGAAAGCCATCCAGGTCTGCCTCAAGTGCAGGTACACGCGGAGATCTGTCTGAAAACCGAGATCCAACAGGGAGATGTCAGAGCCGGTTTCACCTCCCAGTCGGGTGTACTCCATGCAGCAGTGAAATATACTGTAGCCCAGTACTAGAATCACCATGATGATCATCACCCAGACCATAATGCCAGCCAGGAAGCGGAGCAGCACGATGAACAGGAGGCTCATCACCATAGCAATGACCAGGTTTATGACAATCCAGTACCAGGAGACAGTGTAATCTTCAAAGACCCGCATAGCCAGCTGCGGAGCCTCCAGGACCCCATTGGCCTTCTTGGCGCCCTCCACCAGCTCAGTGATGTTTTTCCGAATGCCGTCTCCATCCTCATAGGTTGTCGCGTTGCCCACCACGAGGACCCCCTTATGGGTGTGAATGGCTGGGAGGCATCGTTGGGCCAATGGTGTGCTAGGAGTGAGGACAGGAGGGCAGTCACCATCCCGAAGCACCTCCGCCACAGCCTTGTTGTTCTGGAAGCCAGGCACGCAGAACTGCTTGAAGTACTTACTCATAGTCCGGGAAACTGCGAACACTCAGATAGGTGAGGTATCGGTTGGGGCATTTCTCCACGCACATCTGGGGGGTGGGACACTGGAATTCCAGCAGGACAAGGGGGCTGGCACACTTCACAATATTGAAATGAAACAGGTAGGGTTTGTTCGCATTTTTTGTGCCCTTTTGCCCACAGAACGGACCGTGGCTATCAGTGGGGTAGATTACCTTTCGGGGGTCTCCATGAGTCCAAGCTATGATCCCTACGTAGCCCACGATGGCCAGGAGGAAAAACACACAGCAAATGATGTCTGTGCAGCCCCGATTGTAAATGGGTCCTTTGAAGGAGGGGTCATACTTCTGTGGAGTTCCGTGCTTCCCGTAGTAATGCTGGGGGTCGCTCCCCATCCCTGCGGCGCCCCCGCGGCTCTGGGGTCTGGCCCGATGGGTATCCCAAGGGAGGGACTGTCCGACTGGTGGGCGGCCCAAATCAGTCTGATCGGCCCCAGTGGAGCAGAGGCCAGGGGACTAACCCGGGGAGGGCAGGGAAGGCGGGGCCTATTTTTCTTTATTGATTGAGATATTGCATACCTGTTCTTATCCCCCCATTACCCCTCACCCACCAACCCCCACCTTCCCATTCATGCCCTCACCCTCCTGGTGTCTGTGTCCATTGGTTAGGCTTATATGCATGAATACAAGTCCTTTGGGTGATCTCCCTCCCTTACCCTCTCCTACTTTCCCTCTGAGGTTTGATGGTCTGATAGATGCTTCCCTATCTCTAGATCTATTTTTGTTCATCAGTTTATATTGTTCATTATATCCTACAAATGAGTGAGATCATGTGATATTATCTTTCTCTAATGGACTTATTTTGCTCAGCAGAATGCTCTCCAGGTACATCCATGCTGTTGGAAATGGTACTTTTTACAGCAGTGTAGTATTCCATTGTGTAGATGTACCAGTTGTTTAATCCACTCATCTGCTGATAGGTACCGAGGCTGTGTCCAAATCTTAGCTATAATATTATAAATTATGCTGCTATGAACATAGGAATGCATATATCCTTTCTGATTGGTGTTTCTAGTTTCTTGGGATATATTCTTAGAAGTGGGATCACTGGGTCAAATGGGAGTTCCATTTTTAGTTTTTTGAGGAAACTCCATACTGTTCTCCACAGTGGCTGCACCAGTCTGCATTCCCACCAGCAGTGCAAGAGGGTTACTTTTTCTCCATATCCTTGCCAGCACTTGTATTTTGTTGATTTGTTGATGATAGTCATTCTGACAGGTGTGAGATGGTACAGCACTATCGTTTCGATTTGCATCTTTTGGATGATTAGTGACTTTGAGCATATTTTCATATATCTCTTGGCCTTCCTCATGTCCTCTTTCTAAAAGTGTCTATTTAGGTCCATTGCCCATTTTTTTTGATTGGGTTATTTATCTTCCTTTTGTTAAGTTGTATGAGTAGTAGTTGGCAATTTTTCTTAAATATATGGGCAGGGTTATATTTTAGTAAGCTATTCAATATTTACAAAAACAGGCTGTTGGTCAATGGGCCATGGTTTGCCACTCCCAGGGTACTAGTTCACTGAAATTATGATTAGTCAATTTAGTTTGTTTTAAAACTTTTATATATAGATATCCTATAACTTTGTTAAGAGGCTTCTGGATTATTTTTAGTCTAGATTGATAAACAGAAAAAATACATGGGGAAGATGCTGTATTCCCATTTACTGGGTTAGCTCTTGTCTTAGGTGATTTATGCAATCCAGTTACCATCAATCAACAGGAAGCATTTGTCTTTGGTGTGTCTTTTCACCATTTTCCATAGTGTTGCTGGCAGTGAGAAAGCCCCCAGGTGCTAGCCCAGTGGGGTCAGACTGGACCTGGGTTCAGCAGCCTTGGTACTGGAGTTCTGGCTAGAAAGAATTCAGTATCAAGACTCAAACTGCAAGAGAATGTTTAGAAGGTCACAGAGGTAGAAGTGAGCCGTAGAAGCAATGAACTTGGGAAACAAGTTACAGAGGGGAAAAAAAGGGGAGGGGTCCTTGGAGTTTAGGAGAGAGGAAGGTAAAGGTAGGTAATGAGCCAGGGGAGTAAGAGAGGGGAAAGGCTCAGGTGTACTCCTAGGTGGGAGAGCAGGCTGGGTCTTCCTTCCTAAGGGCTTTTGAGGAGACCCAGGAGAGGATCCCAATAGAGTATTCATCAGTTGCCACGTGTGTCCTTTTTGGGTCTTTTCAGAGCCAGGGTAGGGGATCATTAGTCAATATAGCTGGTGCTGAGGTCACCTTTGGTGTCACTTGTGTGGTTTTGTTGCTTTTCTGGGCCTAGAGCTGAAATACAAGTGAGGCCTAGATGTTATTTCTAGGGAGAAAAGGTCAGGGGGTCTAAACCCAGGAGACCAGTGATATGCTAGGGGAGGAAAGGACACCCCGAAGATGAGGTCCCACCCTACAATTGTTCATTGGGAAAGCTGGGTTCCCTGGGCTTTCTGTCTTGTTGACTTGTACTTGACCCATCGTCCTTGCCCTGCTCATGTCTGTTTAACTGCCTACCATATTAGGACAAAAGCTTCAGACCGCTTTTGGAATCCTGAGTTTAAATTTAGTTAAAAGCTCATTACAAGTGACTTTTTTTTATGGCTTCTATTGACTTACTTAGTGGTTCTCAACTCAATATACAGAAGAATTAGCTATAGAACTATTCCTTATAGCTTAAAAAAGTGCAACTCTTCCCCCCCCCCCCCTCCCCTCACAATCTTAGGTGTTCTCTTTCAGCTGAAGTAGCTGAAGATATGGTAGATGAGAAGCACTGAGCCAGGGTAGGTAATCTGTTCACTAGATGCCTCTTCCTGTCTTTGGGCCTTTCTTAACACCTAATGGCTGTATTGAAATGATGCCGCTTCATGGATCTCACACATGAGTGCTCAATACAGCATGTTGAGCTAGCAAATTTGAGTACAAGGGGAGAGAGAAAGATATATCCTAGCATCTCCTGTTGCCTCTAGCTCAACAACCTTTTTGGGTGTGTTTTTATTTACTGTGCTTTTTTGTGGAGCCGGAAGCCATCGCCACAAGCACTGTACATAGTCTGTTCCCTCCATTCTTTGCAGTGGCGGAAGCCCAGCCCTGAGCACCTGCCCACACATTTCCTGTCTCCTCTATCATGTGGAAACCATCTCCTGTGTTTTCTTCTCTTAGCAGCCTATACCTTTGGCCTCTGATCACATCTTTTCATCTTGTGTTTCAAAACATCTTTTTAATCATAGTTGGGAAATACTTGGGGAACTCAAAGAGACTAGGTCCTTGGTTTTGGAGGTCCAGCAAACTAGCACTGGTTGGTAGAGGCTGGGCAACTTATATACAAATTCAGTGTGACTCTACTGTCCTCCCTTCTTTAAAAAAAAGTTATACACAAATTACACACACACACACACACACACACACACACACACACACACACACAAAGTATATTAGAGGCCTGGTGCATGAATTTGTAAATGGGTGAGGTCTGGCCAGCCTGGCAGAGGGAGGGGACATGGGTGGTTGGCCAGCCTGTCTGCTGGTCTGCTGGTTGAACTGGTCGAGGGGACAATTTTCATATTATAATAGGATATACACTGAGTGGCCAGATGATTATGCATTTAAAAATATCATTTCTGTGTGTGTGTGTGTGTGTGTGTGTGTGTGTGTGGCGGGGTGCATATTCATTGATTTCAGAGAGGAAGGGAGAGGGAGAGAGAGAAACAATGACGAGAGAGAATTATTAACCAGCTATCTCATGCATGCTCCACACTGGGAATTGAGCCCACAACCCAGACATGTGCCCTGACTGGAAATTGAACCATGACCTTCTGGTTCATAGTGCAATGATCAACTACTGAGCCGCACCAGCTGAGCTGTCCTCCTTTCTTGATAGCTTGCAGGTCTGGGCCTCTAAACTAATATTTCAGTAACTTTCTAACTACATTCCATTTAAAAAAAATTAATAAATACAGAAAATGAATTTTTCCTGTGGGGAAAACAACTTTCCTGAATAGGGATCTTAGATGAAGGAATGAGAATAGAGAAGGAGAAAGCTTATGAAGAACTAAATAAAGATTTCACTTGCTTACACTGAATTAATAGATGGGCCGAAGCTTATGCAAAACTTATGTCAATACAATGGAAAAGAGGTATATTTTCAAGCCATCAGATAAGCATCCTGGTGTTGCAGAAAGTTCTTGCTTGATCTGAAGGTGTTGATTCAAGGACCTGTTCTGCCACTTACTTTGTTTTTGGACCTTTTGTCTCAGATTTTGCAAATACTAATTAGGCACTATGCTGTATAGTGCACAGAATCTATACTAATAAAAGAGTAATTTGCTAATTAGGCCGGGAGACCTTTCAGAGACCTTCCGGATATCCTTCTGGACAAAGCCAGGGGCTTGGCTGGCCTGCAAACCACTCCCAAATGCCCTCAACCGCTCACCCAGGCCGCCTCCCCCTCCCCCAACAGGGACCCTCACCCTGATGGGGGCATGGCTGGCCTGCAAAAGGCTCTCGGTTCATGCCCAGGTCAGCCATGCCCTCCAGCGGGGACCCCTCCCCCACCCTGGTGGCATGGGCAGCCTGCAAACCATCCCAGGCCCCTTGCCCAAGCCAGCCTCCCACCCTGATCCCAGACCCACACTCTGATCCAGGACCCCCTTCAAGGCAGACCAGCTGGCCTCCATCTGAACATCAGGTCTCTATCTTCTATATATGCTGATTAGACTGGGAGACCTTCTGGATGTCTTTTCCGACAAAGCCATGGTGGTGGGTCTGAGGCAGAGGTGGTTAGAGTGATCAGGCCTGGAAGGGAGGGCAGTTGGGGGCAAGCAGGCAGATGGGGGGCCAGTTAGGGATGAGCAGGCTGGCAGGGGGACACAGTTGGGAAGGATCAGACCAGTGAGGGGGCAATCAGGCTGGCAAGGGGGCAGTTGGGGCTGAGAAGGCTGGCTGGGGGAGCAGTTGGGGGCAAGTAGGCCAGCAGGCAGAGTGGTTAGAGGTGAGCAGGCAGGTGAGCGTTTAGGAACCAGTGATCCCAGATTGTGAGAGGGCTGTCTGACTGCTGTATTAGGCCTGATATCTGAGACAGGGGACATCCCTTGAGGGGCCCCAGATTGGAGAGGGTGCAGGCCGGGCTGAGGGACACCCCCCATGCACGAATTTTGTGCACTGGGCCACTAGTCCTAATATATAAAAACCCAGGGTCCATAACATCCCAAATGACCGAAGTCTAGACTGACTGCCCTCTGCTATGGGCACCGTGACCCAGCACTGACTGCCAAGGGGATGCAGATCAAACCCAGAGAGAGGCCTGAGGAGAGAGAAGCAGGGTCTGATGCGTAGCCTCTGTGGCAGCTGTTGTTCAGCCCTTGCCTCTCTCTTTCTCTTGGGGCCTGGCCAGCAGCTGCACCTCTCTTTCTCTCAGGCCTCTGCTGGGGCTGCTGATC